GTGGCGTTTCTTCAAGTAATTTTTTAGATAATTATACATTTACGAAGGTATATCTGTCATATTTTGATAAACTCTTTCCTACCTTGTCATAATATATAGACGAAGTAAACAACGTAAGCGCGACACGCGCGCGAGTATCACACGCGCAAGTCAAAGTCTGGGCTGCCTATGCCCAGACCAACAATGTAAACAGATTCGCTTGACTGGTTTTGAGGCTAAACAGACGTTGTTTTTTAAATCTCACTGCTGTGCGGGTGCCACAGATCCTTTAGTATTTATTTCCTCGACTTTCCGATGTTTTTTGACGTTGTACGAGTCAGAAAATAACGAGGATAAAAAGCGAAATATCACGTGAGTCGAGTCGAATTTAGTAGTACTAATGGCAGAACACTATGTCACAATCGATGACCTTTTCTTGCCTGTTTTATTTCTTGTGTTTATCTCGGGTCTGACCAGCGTGTTTGCGGCGAATTACTACTTAAAACCATCGAAAACTACCGCCGCAAAATGGAGTATATGGTGTTTATATCTTCTATCGTCAGTGTCCTTTCTTGGACAGTTAAGAAAAACTTGGATGAGGGATTTCCTACATCAGTTTGAATTGGTGACAGAACCTGTGCTTTGGCAAAGACGGTTGGCCGACTTTATATTAGTAAGAAGTAGCTTACACATTATAACTAAACCCATAGTCCGTAAAACTCAATAAACATTGGAACGCTAACTACATCAAAACGCCATATTATAAAAAGTGTAGCCAAGTTGGCGCCAGCCATTATTATGTTGTTGTTTTTTTACCGAACTGCAAATTGCATTTGGTCGGCTATCAGTAAACGAACTGTTAGTTTAGATTATAATATCATTGTTTCACATGGAAATATAAAATAGGCGGAGGAATACCTTGAGCCTTGACAGCTTAGAATAAATGTCGCAGCTAATCTATATATGCAGTATATTATTACTACTTGTAATTATGCGTTTTTTGTGTTGTGTTTTTTTCCATCTTGCTATAAGAGTTCGTGCTATAGCATGAATCTTTCGCACACCGAGTTTTGAGTTGATAAAAGTATTTTTCAGCTGTTCAAGAGTGAGGGTTGAGCGTTGAGTACTAAGTGTATATACCGAGCTTTTGCAGCAGTTATTCAGTTTACCAATTGATGCCGGATAAGAAAGCCTTTTCACAAACCTACTGGCTAGCTGACCATTATTGACGTGCACGGGCGAAAATATCAGTGGCGTAGCCAGCCCGACAACTTAGTCATGCTATGCTAATATTTTGGCGTTCATCGACTGTGAAAACAATGAATTTCTAAAGAAATGAATAATGATAATAACATAAAATTTGCATAGCCTTAATAAATCGTCAGGCTGGCTACGCCACTGGAATATATTTAGCCTCCTTAGCCTCTTTTTACTGATGCAAATCCTTTAGTTAGAATTTGCTTAAATCTTCCAGTTTGAAGATTGAAATATTCCGTTTCTTTATAGGCACACAAGCTGACACTCGATACGACTGAAAATTATTGGATAACTTCACAATTGCTGCTGTTTACCCTCTCGTTCGTCGTGTTTATCAACATGTACAGCAAAGATATGGATCTGAAATTACACCACATCTTTGGTTACATAGCGCTTGGACTTACCAGTTCTTTTGGTGGTGTTTTGGCATTGGTCCTAGTACATTTCTGCCAGGCAACTTCAGCGACCCCATTTGTTGCTAAAGTTACTACCGGTCGATTTTATTTACAAGTACTTTCAACCGTTCTTGGCTGTGCCATTGTTGTATACCATAACAAAGCATCATTACCTCAAGTGAACATAATCATGGTGCTATTTTTGGCTACAACGTTTCTTCTACCTTTTGCAAACTTTTCAATTCAAGGGATCAAACCCATTTACACTACAAATACTTCAATTTTTTTCTTCCTTATTTTTCTTGGTGCTTTCATCACCCTCCATCATATCATTGCAACATTTATGGTGGCACATGAATGGTTAAACTTCAAGATGTTCAGCCTGGTAGCATTTGGTGCCCCATATCAGTTGGCCATTTCTGTTGATCTTATCTGTTGCACAATAATTGTATCAACATTTGTAATACTAGAGCTCTTTGCATTGAAAACTCTGCAGTTGAAATTTAAGAATTCAGGCCGATATGTCTTCAAGCTTTTGCTATTATTTTTCATATGTCCAGTTATTTTAATTTTAACATTTATTATCTCGCCAGGAGCAATGCTATCATTGTTTCTTGCATACAGAGAAAAGGTTGTGCCCTAGTCTTCAGAATTTGCCAAGGCTGCAGGGCAAGATGTCTGAGATTAAATGAATCAAATTGAAATTTATACTTATGCTGAAAAAGTACTCAGGCAATAGATAACACTAGAGTAGTGGTAACTAAATGTAGAAAATGCTTGCTTTGTTCAAAACACAAATAAAATTAGAATCACCTTTTTTTTTGTTTCCATATTTTATACAAAAGTATAGTCATAATCATAAAAGATTGCTTGAATTTCTATAATAATATTGTTCTGTTTCACATAGAGAAAAGTGACACAAAACTGTTTCTCCTTGTCCCTGACTGTATGTGCTCCTTTCCTTATAAAAGTTATATTTAATTAAATTCATGCATAAAAAATGAGTTAATTGCTGTTTAAATAACATGCCTTGTTTAACAAAATATGCTACTAAAATATATACCGCTATCGTTACACAAAAATCAACATAGCCGATATAATCAAACATACCTAGGGTCGGTTGTATAAAAACGTAGTTAACTTTCGACCATAGAATTGAGCTTTAGAACGACAGAAATGACCAATCAGAGTCATTTATTTCTGAGTAAACTACGGTTTAACTACGCAAAATGTAGTTCAGAGGTTTACACAACCATACCGGCCCCTTAACACTACAATAAACACTCAAATTGATTGTTTACATTCTTAATGTATACAAAGGGCAAAATGCTTATTTATAATTCATTAAATTGTTTTGAAAACATTCGGATGGTGTAAACAAATAAACGCCAAAACAAATCAACGAATGGTTGCAATACCTGCTAGGTTTCATTTGATTTTCTGTGTCCTTTTCAATTTGAATTGTCAAATGCCCTTGACCTCTCTTTAATACTCTTCGTTCAATATCGTGCGTGATAATTGTCATTTTCGATTTGAAATTGATACTCTACTCGGTCTCCGTCATTATAAATTGAACTAAAAATAGTTTGTTTTAATAACTTCCGCATATTTACTTCCGTAATACAAGCTTGCATGCTTAATACATGCACAACACTTCAAAAGCGCAAACATTAGAATTTCATATAGCCTTTGGCATAGAGCTTGTACTTCTTCTTTTAACATGAACAAGCGATACTCAATAATAGTGCTGTTATCTGTGGTTAGCATTCTTTTTATCATTTTTCAAATCAGCAACTTAAAGAGTTATTGGTCAGGTTTTTTGCCAACGGAAAGCATCCTCAATGACACTATTGCGGGTACTTCATATCACACGGAAAACTCTACGATTTTAATATTATATTGGAGTTCGGTTTTCGGACGTAAGGTGAATGTAACCGGCATCGATGGGAAATACAAATTCCCTTTTTTCGCCGTGAGCGACAAATGCCCGGTTAAATGCGAGCTAACTAGCAACAAAAGTCGTATAGCAGAGGCTTCGGCTATTGTGATACACGGACGTGACGCGGAAGAAATGCCTCCTGCGTCAAGCAGACACAACACTGTTCCTTGGATATTTCACGCGAACGAGAACCCCGTTTTTACGAAAGCACTTCGCAATGGCGACATTATGCAGAAGTTCTCGTACTCTGCCTCGTATCGGCTGGATTCCGATTTCCCTTGCCCGCAATTCTATAAACCGAAATTGACCAGACCCGTTGCATTTGCAAAGAAAACTGGCTTGAGTGTCGCCGTTTACAGTCATTGTGAGAAAACCAGAACTTTGTATCTACACCGTTTGATGAAGCACATGCCAATTGACTTCTACGGAAAATGTATGCGAACGATGCCCGTGCTTCCTAGAACCAAAGATAATCACGGTTTTCTAGTAGGAATCATGTCCAAATATAAGTTTGCCTTCGTTTTTCCAAACGCCGATTGCGACTATTACATGACCGAGAAAATATACATCGCCTTGTCCTCAGGTGCCGTTCCCGTCTGGATGGGAACGGATACAATCGACGAGGTCTTGAAATGGGGGAACCTGAAAACATCTGTGATCAAGGTTAGGGACTTCAAGTCGCCTCGACAACTGGCGAAACACCTTTTGTGGCTTTCGCGGAACGAAGCCGAGTACAACAAATTCCTGAAATGGAAGTACGAAGGCTTCAATTTCCCGAGGGAGTATTACGAGTCGCGGATCGCGGAGTGGTGGGAAGGTAGCCCGCTGTTTTGTCAAGTGTGCATGAGACTAGCGCAGACCAATCGTTCGGTTTGGAGAAGGTTAGATGTTGACAACTGCGACGGGAGGCAAAGGCGGACTCTGGAGAAGTGGATACGAGAATAGTACAGCACCATCTTCAAAGCCATATAATAGACCATTCCCCTTTTATCTTTCAAGCGCGCAATGCGTGACGGTCGTTGATTTCAAAGGTCAATTTGACTTGTGATTTCGTCCCGTTCAGGAGCGAACCTACAGGAACTGAAACGAGCCTACAGGAATTGAAAGTCAAAGATGGCAATGCGATACTCAAATTTTTTTTATTTTCATGACAAAATCTTTCTGATAGAACGTATAAAATATTTTATGTTTTTGCAAACGAAAGAACGTCGTCATTAATATGAGTAGAACATTTGAAATGTACAACTGTATTGCTAAAGCAATATGTCATAATTATGTAACCGAGTCACCGACAGTCGGCGATGTATTGTTTGTGGCCGGTCACGAAGAACATTTTTTCAAAATAACAAAACACTTTATTCACGAATGATCTCCGACAATAGCCATTGCCGACCGTCGGTAGCATATGAGAACGAGCTGCCTTACAACCTTTAATAAATCATCATAAACAATAGCAAAATCTCCTAAGCATTGGCTGTGTAGTTCTTATACAGCGAGCTGCATTTCCGTACTCGTTTATTCGGCTTATTTCAGGATTCACACGAGGCTCACCGCTGATCATTTGTACTGTTGCTTCGTATATGCCATCGTTTGGCGAAGTCTCAATCTGAAGTTGGTACATACACCCACCTAAAAATTGTGAAATTAACTTCGGAATACAGGCTCTCTGGTGGACAAAAGATAAAACCTACCATAATTAGGGGATAAAAAAGCTTTATTCGAATATATTATCCTGAAATTACTTAACTCTATACACAGAAAAAATGCCACACACCTTTTAGAACCCTGAAATTGACTTTTTCCTCGTATCCCCCCTTGTCGAAGTCACAATTATAGAAGATTTGATCCTCTGCAATTTCAACTTTGCACATTTCTCTGCGAGTCCATTCTGCCTCAGCATATCATTTATTGCGGCGACGACAGCGAGCCCGCTTTTTACAACATGTTTGTGGTCTGTGCTAACCGGGTCCCAGTCCAGACACGGGCAATAATGAAAAGGTATCCCAGCCTTTTCGCAGGTTCTCCACCCGATGTTTGTCAGAAGACTCCTTCCGTGAGGTAAACCTTGTGGCTCGTTCGGATACGTCAAAAAATGCATTAGGGTCGCATGAAGGTCAAAATGTGACGTAAGCACTTCAGCGTTTCTTCGTAAGTTCGCATAGAGTTCTGGATAAGAGGCCTGGAACCAAGGCGGGAAAGTCATAGACAGAAAAGGTAATCTCTCTTCCATCCGACCAAGAATACTGGAACGAACAAAACCGTACCGAAGTCCGTGATCTCCAAATAATATTAAAAGAGTATTATTAAGATAATTCTTATCTTTCATGACTTTTAGAAAATTTAAGAGCTTATCTTCGACCAGCGAAATAAAATTGAACGATTCATGATGGCAAAAATCGGCATTGAATTGAAACCCGAACTTCGGCGTGTTGGGGTATGCGTCAAAAAAGCTTTGAACAGCGTTGAAGCTAACGTTGTATATCGCTTGAGAGCCCAGGCAGTGACCCTTAATGTACGTGCCTAATTCAGCAACCTTCCTGTATAATGTTGTCATTTTGTTAAGAGCAGCATACCACAATGGAAGCAGATAATGGTCAATTGGTGGTTTACAGAAGCCTTGTAGGCGATGTGTGATTGCGCCATTGTAAACTTCGTCCTCGCTGTAATATGTGACGTAACCATGAGCCCGCATGTCTTTGAAAATCAATGGCCAGCTGTCAATACATGACCCATCTAGCCTCCTAAAGGGGAGGCGTGAAAACGTTGTAATGAATTGTGTATATATACAAATTCCATAAATGGGTATTCTCAACCCCAGTGAGCTAGGATTGTGGACAAATGACAAACTAGACTGTCTTACCCGACCCTAGCTTCTTGTAGTTCATCTAGCAGGCGACCAGTGATCATTCCTACAACATTCTCAGTTGTACCATCACCAACAATTGAATGTCCGTTGAATACAACGGATTTTAGGTCATCCTTTAAATACTTGTACACTGGTCCCAGTTTCCTTTGAAAATGCGCGTGGGACGTGGAATCTAGGCCTACCATCATTACGTTCAGCGGTATTCCTGGTTTAGTTTTTGCAACACGCTCTACGTACTCCTTACGTGATTGCACATCAAGGTGAAACTCTCTTTGCTCATCACCATCGACGGTTTGTACCTCAAGGTACACCATGTCTTCGTTCAGCTGGGCTTCGGGATCCGACGGCGTCAACGTGCCCGTTCGGGAAACGTCGTAACCTTGCCCTGTATTGCTTTTTCTTTTCAGAATTTGATAGTTAACTTTCTTCACATTCTTACCTGTGTATGAAAGAAGAATTGCATTACAAACCATTACAAACATACATCTTTACAAGCTATAGTTAGTGTATTCCTAATTTCAAAGTATGTTTACCAACAACCGTCTTTTGAGCAACACTAAACAATTCATGTGTTTTTTTACTGTACGACTTATCCGTTTTTTTTAAGTTCCTTACATACCGGGAGTTATCCTCAAAATGCCATTTTGATAAGAAGTTAGGTTTTTCTTTCCTTTACAAACCAAAGGTGGAACATTTTCAATCATTTTCATCACAGTTGGATCAAATGGGTCAATGTTGGGAAGATTACATATTTCGTTCTTTTTATTAATTTTGCCAGACTTTGTTTGGCTTTTCTAAAAAGTTTCACACATGGGGTTAAATGAATCTACACATGTTCATATACCGAGTAAAATCAATGCAAAACTACACAGTTCTTGTCTTCACCACGTACTATTGTTCTTATTTACAAAAGCATTGGGTTATCAAAAGTTACAGACTTAGGCCTGTTTCAGACGTCGAACATTTTATGCGCCGAATCGAATGAACTTAAACAAAGACTTCAGTTCATTGACACAATAGGATCGGCACATGAAACATTCGACGTCTGAAACGGTCTTAGAATTGATAAGCTGTTGTTGTTATAGTGATATCCAATTTTTGTTATGATGGTACCCAAAACAGTGGCATAGGCAGCCCGACGATTTTTTCCCGCTATGTAAATGTTGAGCTATTATACATAGTGTATTCTTAATTTCAAAGTATGTTTGCCAACAACCGTCTTTTGAGCAACACTAAACACTTCGTTTGTTTTTTTACTGTACGACTTATCCGTCATTCTTGTTTAAGTTCCTTGCATACCGGGAGTTATCCTCAAAATCCCATTTTGATAAGAAGTCAGGTTTTTCTTCCAAACCCCAAAACCCCACTCAAACCCCCAAATCCCAAAATTTGATAACCTGTAAACGCATCAAACTGTAACTCCTTTGGTTTGTCAAAGAACTGAAGATCTGATCTTGGCTACAGACAGAAATCTTTGCAATAACGTATTGACATAGTGTTATATCATATTAAATCTGAGACCAATTACCCTTTAGTCTATCCTACCTAAAGTTTCTTATAATTTTTTCTTATTTGCCATTCAATAAAAAAGAAGTACTCACCAAACTAGGAGCACAGCTTTCTTCCTCAAATTCCAGGATATCTCGATGCTCACTCTTCAGTACAGTGATAACACCGAGGGAAAATTTCGGTTTACTCAACACCCCTGTCTTCAAAGTGACGGTATTTGGGCCAAGATTGTACGTGAACCCTTTGCACCTTTCACCGAGATGAAGACAAATTTTCATCCCATTGTTTTCGCTCATCGAGAACGTACACGTCGCGTTTGAGATGGAACTTTTACAATTGAAATCCCCCGACACCATGTCAGCATTAGCAACCTGCAAAAGGATGGATTAATGATTAATCTAGGTTTCCTTCGAGTCGTAATTGTCGTGAGCAAGTCATTTCAACAGATGAGAAATAGTCCTGACGTAGATTTGTCTTTATTTCTGTATTCACATCGGTCATTGTTGACTGTACACACTTAGAAATATATTCAATCACATCAGCCACCTTGACATGTTCACAACACTCCTCAATCCTCATGCACGACCAAATGAAAACCAGGCATCATGCCGAAGAATGTCAAACATTTATTTATCCACATGTGGGTCCCAACAGGGGTGCTTTGGCATTAAAACTCCAGCTATTACTTTGTTATGGGTGATTTTAATGGTTTTGGGTTTTTTTGGGACACCCTGTGTTTTGGAATTGAAAGACAATTATCATTCCGTAGAGAATATCCTGTAATGTGTCTGAGGAGAACAAGACAATGAGTTGTTTCGTGACTGACATCTATGGTGACAAACGACACACTATCCAGACGAACTGTGTAGACGAATATGTCAAACGAAACAGAATCGCGCGTTTTTAAAGTGCATGGGAATTGTGAAATTATTTATGTGGTAAAAAGGGTGCATATACAAGAGCCGTTTTATGATGGATTTTTCGTGCTTCGTCCCCATCTCGTATTTATACTAGCAGACGAATGATACGTCAAGACGAACTACCATTCAAATTTGTCTAAATCGAGGGAGTATGCAGATAATTTGTGTTGACTAATGAACCGTCTGCTTGGTCGTGTTTACACACAGACGGACTAGAAGACGAACTATCTTTCGCTTGCCCAAGTTCGTCTAGACGGATGATCCGCCTCTAGTATAAACCAGGCCAAATCCGTCTCTAATATAAACTCAAACAACCGACCTTTGATTTGCTAGCATAACGTTTCTGTTTAGAGAGCACTGGACCATCAAACAATTAATTTGCTTTAGTCATGCCCAAATTCGCCATAAGTATAATATTCGCATAGCATTCGCAAAACTAATCGATATTTTATGTTCATTTAAGGCCAAACATTAAAGCCAATTAAGTTTTAACGTTTTAGTATGTTTTAGTAATAATATAAGAGACGTCCCTTCACAACCAGCGTCGAAATCAAGACGCCGGCATTAAATATATTGTTCTTTCAGTTTCAACAATTCTGTTAGGCACAAACAGAAACATCAGTTTTAATTGATCGTATGTTTAGCATGTACTGTGGAGTTTCCTCACACCTCCCTTCACAAACATGCAGCGTCGAAATCAAGAGGCCGGTATTAAATATATTGTTCTTTCAGTTTCAACAATCCTGTTAGGCACTAACAGAAACATTTTAATCGATCTTATGTTTAGCGTTTACTGTGCTTCATTCACATGGAGTTTCTGAAACACGTGCAGTTTGAAGCAAATTTTTGGAAGGGGGGGTCATATATAGGCTTTGTTTGAATGAGCCACGGTGAAACTGATGACTCGTCCAAGCCGTGTGCTAATCATCGATTACCTGTTTGTTTTCTTACGTAGTTCATAGTTCATTTCTCTCATTATGGCATATATGAATAATAACTTGAGTGCAATACGAATTCAGATATGTGTTCATTATGAAATACGCCGTAGTTACACATCGGCTGCAGTTGTAAAACAACTATTTTAATTCGGAAAGAACGTTTATCTTACCTTGACGAAATATCTGCCCAGATAATTGTAGTAATAAACTCCAGAACTGAGTAACAACAGAAGAACTAGGACAGCGAAAGTTCCCACGGTTGACCTTCTCGGTCGAATGTAAAATATAGCTATACAACTCCATAACTTTCCCAATCTACACATCGCAAATCTTGTCAAACTTTATAAATCTTTATTGGGCTTCAAAATAAGAGACTTTATGGTAAGCAACTTGATATTAGCTCGAGGTGGTCACGTCAAGGGAATTCTCTGCCGAGCAGAGAAGAACAAAGAACTTGTATTTTTATGCAAATATACTATTAATGCATCCCATCCAGGGGCGTGGTGACCGGAGGGCCTTTAGTATAAGTAATGGGGTAAGAATTAACATGAAATTATCACCAGAGTTTAAATTACATGCACATTTGTATACGACGCCCCTGTTTTCATTTGCTGTGCCTACCCAATCAATATTATCTGATATTAAACGCCCATATCTCTAAAAACAGCAACTGGAACACAGAAATAATTATATCGAATTACACACATATTCATTCATAATTTAAAAAAGAATGCCTTGAAATTGTGGTTTAACCAAAATTAGTAATGCATTAAGACCGAACGTCACGGGCTAAATGAAGATCATAGCTTCTTATGCAAACTCTCAAAATTAGGAATAGGATAACCGAATAACTCGTGATCTATTCTATACCGGGAAATTAGTTGATCAAAATACTTCTTCGGAAGTTCGCGTAGTAAATTTTGTACCGCCGCTTTGGTTTTGGTCAGCGGCGGCGCACCGCCTCGCATGTTTGAGATGATACTTCGTCTCGTCCGCATGTATTTTCCTCATCAGATGTGGCACATCGCGTGCGATCGTGTCCATAGAACCAATGAAATCGTACTTCACGTTGCACGGACGGCAGATATCCTCGTAGGTTATCCAATGTTCGTTTAGTTCCCAAGGTGGGGTGTCAAATAAATACCGCGAAAACTCCGTAAAACTAACATCATGGCCATGTTCTGCCTTCCTAGTGTTATTATAGCGATACTTCTCTATAATCCGTTTTCCCAGATTCGCGTGAAGTTCGACGTTACGGTCGTTTTGCCATTTATTTCTGTACGCCGAAGCAAGCCTTTCCATGGGATCGCGTACGAGCAGAAATTTGTAAAAGTTTTTTAACATGTGCTCCCTCTGTTCCTCCGTAAATTTCTGTTATCAAGACGCACGATCTCCACATTCATTTCGGCGATTTTCACTTTTTCAACACTTGGGTATAAGCCTTGCATAACCAAAAATATCCTCTTCATATTTGAGCATCCAACCTTTGGTATAAAACAATACAGGACCTTGTGTTTTTCGTTTACAATAATATGATGCAGGACGTTGAATCTCTGAAGAAGCTTCTTTCTATCCCTGCGGTTTGCTGGCGCTTTCAAAACGTTCGTGACGTTCAGGTTTCGACAGACCTTTTCCACCGTTTTTTTTCGTTTTCTGCTGTCGATCTCCGCCTTAAAAAATGACCATGGTGGGCATGGCGAAATGTTGAAGATTTGCATCGGGAAGGGAGATTTAGTACCGGAGTCACTACGAGTACGACTACTGTCTACGAGTACAAGATTCGTCATCTTCGGGCCTAACTCGGTGCTTTTGCCTACGCCATCTGACGAAACTCGTGGTCGTCGATCTTTTGAATACGAAATTTATCAACAAACTCCTGCTTAAAAGCTCGACGACTACGAGTTTTGCTGATGGCGTAAGCAAACACCAGTTACACCACACGGGAACCGTAGTCAATTCTAAAGCTCTCTATAATAGATACAAGCCTAGAACTGGATGGCGCATAACTACGTGGCGTAATTTTTTTAGTGCACGTCGCGAGATTCATACCTGTTCGTCCTCGGAGCTTTTTATCGTTGTACGAGGCATTGCTTAAAACCTCTGGTTTCGGCCTTTCAACACTCTTGGTAACAGCTGGACCAGTAATATGAAATCCAAGCTCACTAGATGTTTTTCCTATCTGTGAATTGATTGCTTTTGACTTCTCCTGGATCTTATATACGTGGTCATCCCCTCTCACTGTTTCCACTACACAAAAAGGAAATATTAAGCACGCCGCACACGAGAGCTATATTAGCTGGGCTAGAGTCTGACCTCGCGAGGCTGTTAGCTCAGCAGGTTTATCTCGTGTGGGGTTAGTTTTCGTGAGGAATTCGAAAGGCAAGTTTCTCACGTGTGCGGATGATTTTCGGGCTGAGGCGCTGAGCTAACTTCCTCGCGAGGTCGTTATTAATATATAAATTTATTCTAAAGTGCTCATTAATTCTATTTCTGTGCTAAAGCTTTTTATTGGTGAAGCAGACCAAAATAAGTTAATACTGAAGGAAAGATAACAGTGTAACTTTTTATAACCTGGTAGTGATAAGGAACGTATCAATTCTTATTAGGTCCGTTTCACACTTCATTATAACAAACCCAAAGTAGCTATATATACAGATTTAGAAATCACCTTTTATATTGAAGTTTTAAAATTAGCTGGGACATTAGCTGGATGGAATATCGCCCACATATATTCACTTGTCTCACATTCTTTCGTCTGTGAAACCCATTAGAACATAAATAATCAAAGTAATCGAAAGAAATTGGACAAGGCAAGGCCGCTTCACTATACCGAAAACTAATATACGATAATATACGATATAGATAATTCAATATACGATAAACGCTACTGAATTGTTTTCAAGGTTGAAATCACTTAACATGACACGCTATATCACAGATCAAAAGCCATCATGTTTGACAGAATATTACTAGCACTACAAGTATAAGTTTCCAAGGTTAATAATTAACCTCGTGAGTTCACTTACCAACAACCACCACACGACTGTTCCCATGCCGAGCAAGATGAAACGAGTTATAATAAAACTCAAAAGCGACAATGGCCAACATCACCCAGAAAACTGCAAACAGTATTCGTCTGTACATTCGCATTCTCACGTGCCCAAATGAAAACCAATGTAGAAACATGACAGAATGATGCAAACTGCATCGACAAAAATTAACGTGTTGGTCACGAGCGTATTTCGCACGCTATCGAAAATTTACTCATGAAACTTAGTCGCCGGCAATCCAAATGTGTCTAGCGACAGAACCTACGAAGCGTGTCGAATTTCGTGCACTATGAAGTCTGAATATAACTACACAGACCAAAGTATACCCGGTAGGAGGTACAATGTTTCAGTGACTGGACAGTTTAAACGTATTGTTGCCAACTGCAACGTTTAGGCATATGTTTATTACCAAATATCTTCTCCTCTGCAGCTCAAAGAAAGCCCTGTACAGACGGGCACGTTTTCCTTGACAAGTTTTATTTGCTCGTGTGTACGCAAAAAAATTCACAACTTTTCCTTGTTGAGGTATTGAAATGAATAAATGACACGATCCTTGTCATCTAGTTTTGTCTTATATAAGGACTTCTTTCAAAACTTCAAAAGAAGAAACTATCTTATAGTTTCAGTCAGGGAACCCAAACTATCATAGAAGAAAATATACATTCTAAACCCATATTTCCTTTGTTCTAAATCTCAGTTGTTCTGGAATGGCCAAGAATATCGACAGATCGAAACTCAAATATGTGCGTGTGAATATGTTCTTACAGTTCTTTAATTTATTCGAGGTCCTTTGTATAGACTTCTTCTGACTAGCTGACGGATTCTTTATACACCAACGATCACAATATGACCATTATGACGGTAATAGACGATTCTTTCGCTTTGAAAAACAGCTCCTAAACTCTCAAAATATTGAATTTCTATATTATGACATTCATAAAGTATTTCATATTTGGTTCAAGGGCCTACACCGAAGTTTGTTTACGTGTTTTTTTCTGTATACACGCTGAAGTAAGACTTGCCGCGACATCATTATATATTAACACAGCATGATGCTGCAACGTGTGATTCTGAAGAATGAATATACCTGCGTTTTATTTGTTTTCTTTTATCTGTATAATTACCCCAACAAAAATTTTTATGCAAATACTCAGGCCGAAATTCCTTTACAAGTGAAAGGTCGGTTTGAAAACAAAGATGTCCCTTTGATAAAACTACTTAAAGTTAGGTTTCGTCGCTCTCGATGCCGGGTTTAAGAAACTTATTGATGTTTCTGCGTAGGTCAAACAGGGAGTTTAGACGCTTTATTTCAACATGCTTCTTACTATGGTTAGTGCTCACAGGATTCGTGATATTTTTGACATTTCGAAAGTCGAAACGACCAGGAAAGTTGGATATGTTACCAACACTCGTTGGACGCTAAGAACGGTCGAAAATCTCAGAAAAGATGCTTGCCTTGATCCCGACAAGTTGAAATGTAAAATCATTCGAGAACAACGCGAGGAAATCGCTTGGAAGAAACGATATTACAGCAAGCGAGCGGCCGTTTTGATAGCCCTATTGAGGTCGATACGTCAGCAGACGAGAAGAAATGTCCGCATTTATACGGCGTTGCACGAGAGATACTTAACGGTCTCAAGATCAAACTTCCGCACGAGACAAACCGGACGCGATGGAAATTTCGTGCCCGGGTCGATTTGAACAAGCTGAAGCAAACGCATTTGCGATGGAATTATCCTTGGAAGCAAACTAACCCGAAGAAAACAGAGAATCTCTTACGACGGTACAACGTCTCGGCGAGAACGATAAAACGGCGAAAGATCCTGCTAAGTTACGGCCATAATTGCTGCAATGGTTCCAAAGTGAGGGCGGTCAATGCTGCAATCAGACACGCGAAGATGGACTATGCGGAGTCATTAGACCTTTCCGCCTTGTCAGTGTCATTCCAGATATCACACAGCGAGCAGTTGCGCCTGCGCAAAGGGGCCGGGTACTGGCTGTGGAAAGCGTACATCATACTTCAAGCTTTACTGTATAAGTTGAACGACGGAGATATGTTGGTGTACCACGACTCCGGCATGTATTTCGTTAACGACATCGGACCCCTGCTTAAGATTTGCCAAGAGATTAAGCCGAGCATTTTGACGTTCGCTATGCCATACGACGAGCGTTTGTACTCTAAGAGAGACGCCTTCATACTAATGGACATGGACCACCCGATCGTTTCCGCCAAAGGTCAGACACAACGCTTGGCTAATCTCATTGTAGCGATGAAGAATTGCGAGACGATCCAATATTTCATGGAGTACCTGGCATACACAATGGACTTTCGGATTTTCAGCGACAGAAAGAACGTTCTTGGCAAGCCAAATTTTAAAGATTTCGTTGGCAACAGACACGATCAAACTGTCCACTCTTTGCTTTCGAAAAAGTGGGGCATCTTGGAGGTAAGAGATCCCTGTACCTGCGGTAGAGGTAGAATGGATAACAAGGGAGGATACGCCTCGGGTCCGTACACGGGACTTTACGTGCACGACCGAAACCGAAGCTAGTCACGCGGGAATTTGATGAACTGTGTGCGATTTGTTGTTGTTGTTTGTCGTTGGCTGATCATCAATGTTCGCCAAGGTATCACATCTGATGTGAACTCTGTCTTTGCTTGTTTATAGGAATAGATTTGTGTCATTTGATATGCATCCATGTCAAGGGGGGGGTGTACGAAGGCTGGATAGCGCTCTCCACCGGTCCGTGAATTTTTCAAGCAGTGCAAAAATTCTTTTTCGATATTGAGCCAAAAATGAATCAAGAGAAATATTACTTCAAGTGTATGAAGGTTCAATTCGTATTGTACCAAAAAACGGGCAATTCTAGAAAGATTGAAAACACACTATATGGTGGTAGGTGGCGCTATTCGGGCTTCGTACAACCAACCCTTTCTTTTTCTACAAAACATGGTCTGTGTTATTTAAGTATACGTGTGTTTGATACGAACGCAATTCAAACGGTAAACAGTGAGATTTAATGCGGTCAATAACCTCGAGTTTTTTCGAGTCAAATGCGTTTGGGACGACTCAGATTCGACGTACAAAACACGCTACACACTTCTTTATTAACTTACTAACTCAACTTCAAGAAAGGTTAATGCTACTGAATAAAATGAAAATGCCCTCGTTTTCACAGCAGGGTCAACCGTTCTTGATTCTTATTGTTGAACCTTCCTGTAGCATCAATGCAAGGCTACTCCCAACTGTCGTCGATTTTTGAATGATCGTAAAGTTCTGGCAAACGGACATGGTTTGTCTTCGTCGAACGTTCATCAATACGCCCTGTGTCAGCTTTTTGTACCATTCGCACAAAAGCAAAACTTCCTAAGATGCGGAAACTCGTCTGCTATGCAGTTCGGTTGGCTGCCGTAGACATTAATACGACTAATTCCGACGTTTACTATAAATTTGCCTCGTACAAATCTAACCGTCGCCTCGTAAATACCGTTGCTAGGCGCTGCTACGAATTGCACTTGATAATTACAGGTGTACGCAAGTGGACCACCGTAGTCATCATTGAACCTGGTCTTCCAATCCATGCCCACTTCACGAAATCGTAGAACACGATTGTTGGGCATCTCAAGCATTGCATAGCTGACTTTTTTCAATCTCAATTTTTCGCACAACGTTCTGCTCTTATTTTTCTCCTCGTTGAGACTATTAATAAATTCTAGAGTAGCTAACGCCGAGTTCTTGATGTGGCTGTGCTGCGCGTTTACCCCTGACCACTCCAAACACGGACACCAGTGTTCGGGGATGCTTGCCTCTGCGCATGTGCGAGATTTCGGCACTTCGGTGAAAAGACTTTGACCGTGCTTCAAATCCGATGGGAGGTCTGGGTACGACAACATGTGACGAAACGTCGCGTACACATCAAACCATGATGTCAAACGTTTCGTATTCGTCTTTAAAGTTGCGGCAAGTTTTGGGTAGCGAGACTTGAACCAGGGGGGGAAGGTCATCGAGAACAGAGGGAGGCGTTCCTCTAGCTTTCCTTGAACCGTTTGTCTCAACTGCCCATAGCGTAATCCATGATCGCCCATCACAATCAGTAAAGTATTGTTAAGGTAGCCTTTAGACTTTACTTCTCGCAACAGGTTGAGAAAATCTCGCTCGATTTTTTGGACTAGGTTCACTCCGTGATGTCCGTGACCGGCTGAAAATACAGCAAAGCTAGATATGAAATATTTGATACAAAAAATATATTGGACTTTTAGTCGACGTCATGACGTAGTTTGCGAAGAAAGCATGCTTCCGATTGATCAATGCGCTCAGTTGTCTAATCGGAAACATACTTCATCTGCAAACTCGCAGCGCTCTAGGTTCTATGTTGTGAAATATATTTGTATACTTGTAAACCGTTTTTCACTGATCAATTATGTATTCCACTCAAGACTTAATCTGATCGTAATCACTCACCATTAAAGGAAAAAAAGAATTTCAGTTGGTCCGGCAGTCTTTCGAACACACTTTTGATATAATCAAATTGGTACCGCGCAATATTTTTGCTGTTAAGACATAAGTTTGGCCGTCCTTTGTTGAATCTCTTCGCCCGTTCAAAGAAAGGTCTTGAGTATAAATCAGTCGGTTGATTTGTGTATCCCTTGAGACGATAGTGGAATGGTCCGGACTCGATACTGTCCTCAGAGTGGCCTGTTATGTAGCCATGCTCTGAAATTGTTAGATAATTCGATTATAACACTGATTCTAAGAATCAAGGTTACTGCAACTCTTATATATGCTCAGTAGCGCAGCCAGCCTGACGATATGTTGCAGCCAGCCTGACGCTATGCTAATATTTAGTGTTGATTGACTGTGAAAACAATAAAATTTCTAAAGAAATGAATAATTATAGTAACTCGAAATTTACATAGCGGGACAAAATCGCCAAGCTGGCTACGCCACTGAGTATACTGAAGACAATGGCGGCCGTAGAGTTATCCAGTAGAACTGGTAAGTTGGGACCAGTGTTTGGGCATAACGGTTGCGTAACATCATTAAGGCCCTGTTACACTGTGCAATTTTTCTTGCAACTTGCAGTGCAATTCTACTTTTGAGAGATCAATATTTGGGAATAACGAAACTTTTGTGTTTATTACACTTCATGCACTTTTCTTCTGCAAGACTCTTCACTAATTTACATCTCTTAGCAGTACAATTGCATTGCAAGTTGCAAGAAAAACTGCACCGTGTAACAGGGCCTTTAAAATATTATAGAATTAATGAATTCAGAAGAAAATTCACAAGAAAATTCACATCCTTCACCTGTCAACTGTCTATAGATCCAGGTCCAGTCATCAAGAGTGCGAGCCCCTTTGAAACCTGCTCTTCCCTCGTATTGCTCTGTAAACTTCTTTCCAGTCAACATGGGAGTTAATTGTCGTGTCGTTCCATCACCCGTCACCGTGTGACCCTGGAAAACATCCGCGTCGAGCTCTTTCTGCAAAAACTCGTAAATTTTCGGGAGCTTGCGTTTCGCTCCCGCGTGAGAAAGAGAATCGACGCCGATTATGAGAATGTTCAACGGAATCCCGGGCGGTTTTTGCGGGCGTCGGTTCAGCAAACTTTCGCGCGGAACAACTTGGGGAAAAAATTCTTTGGACGTGGTGCCATCTTTCAGTTTGAAATCGACCTCCAGGAATTCGTCTGTGATTGGTTGGTCGTGGCGTAGCGGTTTGACTTTACTCAACTTTACCGCAAAATCACCGTTTCTCGTGATTGAGCGATACGTTGCATTTAAAACGTCATCTATAAAAGATTATCATATGTAACAATATCTCTATGCCGTGTCTTTCTCATCATTGTACATTTGGAAGGAATTAAAATGATGATATAAATTACCTGTAAATTTAAATATCCCATTGACCAACTGCCCATGTTCTTTTCCGGGGCATTCTGGGTAAGTCGTTTTCGAGATATACTTCATCATAGATGGATCAAATGGATCGAGAACTGGTAATCGACAGCTCATATTTGATTGTGATATCTTGGAAAATGAATTTTCGATTTTGGGCGCACATTTCATCTATGAAATGAGGTAAGAGATTTTTTTACATTCAGTTTAGCAAGCCGATGTTTGTTTCTTGTTGTTTTGTATTGTGTTGACGTAGTTGAGGTAATGTTTTGTATTGTGATGACGTGATGTTTTGTATTGTAATGACGTATGATGTAACGACTTTGTAAAGATGTAAAGTCTTTTCATTCCCACTGCGAAGCAGATCTTTCAATACACAGCTCGTCGTTCAGGATTAGATGTTAGATGTAAGTTCTTGACACGAACACATAAAATAAAAATACCTCAGAATCAGAAATATTCTTGCTTATCCATTCGTTGGATTCTTCATGAATCTGTTGCGACGATATGGGAAGCTGAAAGTTCATAAAACGCACATTTACACACATTTAATTTGTAACATATAATTACGCGCCTGCACACATTACGCTGTACAAATTCCCGGACACAAATTCTTCCAAATCAGCAGCCCCCCCTCCACTTCTTGCACGTACGGGCGCATACCCCGAGTTCCCACCAACCTATGTTCCTGCTTTGGATATTTATCTAACCTCGCTTAGACAAGATTAAGCAAAGTGTTAAGTGGCTTCGAGTAGTCTGAAGGGGCTCGGTTAACATGATTCCGTTTAACTGAGATTAAGCGAAATGCGAAAGCGAAATTTCTTTGAGGTATTGAGACTGTATTCTAAAAGCTCACTTAGGTCTAGGTCAAACATCACACTTCTAATACAAATGAGATCAAACAAAGACTTTAATTTAGCAGGTTCGGTGCAAGAAAAGAGCGATGTTTGACCTTGGCGTAATTATACTGAAACTCATTTTAATAAGTTCCAATCTTCTCATAACATTCCATGATGGTGATTTCAGTCGAATAAGAGCTATATTTTCCAGTGTCTCATCTTAGATCATTCCCGGCATTGAGTAAGAAATAACTTTCTTAACTGATAAGTTATAACAAAATTCCTATAAATATAGGCATAAGAACCGTTTCAGACGTCAAACTTTTCAAGTGCCGTATCAAGTGCAAATGAGCTGATACAATGACTTTTCAGTTTTTCTCAATATAACATTAGCTTTGGCACAAGACAAATTCGACGTTTGAAATCGGCTTAAGGCTCAACATGCGAGTGGAAGCCATCTAATATGACCGTAAACGGCCATCGTGTATCTATTTTCGAACCTGTTCTTCAAAGAAAGCTCGTGTTTGCCACAAAATCGCAGTAGTTAATGCTCCGATGAGTGTCAGGATAAGAAAAAAGCCTTTCTGCTTCACAAAGAGTGTCCTGTAAACATAACACTAGACATTTAGGCATTATTTATAGAAATAATAACGAAGAATTCCGAACTACAGAAAGAATATTCAATTCCCCTAATGCCTAATGGAAACGGCTAAAAACTCTGAAAACACGGTTTAAGAGCACTGAGCAATGTAGTGCTGCCCATATTTTTCAAATTTGTCAACAACATTGAACAATATTGTTGAAAATAGCTCAGATGCGACAGTATTGATCAATGTTTATAACAACTTTGAACAATATATGTGGACAGCATGACATTATTGCATCCTGTCCATATCAATTTTGCGTCAACGTGGGCTGGGGCCAGTCGTATAAAAGACTATAGGAACTTTTAACTGTAGTTAAAGACAGAATTCGCCAATCAAAGTCGTGTATTTCTGAGTTAACTGGGATTTAACTACGCAAAATGTAGTTAAGGAGTTTTATACAACCGGCTCCTGATCGTTTTAGTCGGACTCGTGAGTGTGAGTATGCCGCCACTTACGATGCATATATTATTTACATAATAAAATCCTCAACCAGCCAACTACATAGTGTATATTTAGCCGTTTCGTTTTAGAATTTTATCTTTATATGCCCACAATTTTAAAGGGCTTTCGAACAAGCCAGTTTCGGTTTCATAATCTAGCCTAACCCGTAAAATACCCCGACCCTGCGAATTGGCACAGTAACATTATTGATAACTTCAGGCGGTAAACAATGATAACAGTCTATAAAAAATCACATCAGATACTTGCTGTCATTTGTGCTTTAAAAACAATTACAAATTACGTTTACTTGTGCAATGCAAAACAACGTACTTAAAATTCGGAACGAGTCAGTCTTAAGCAAAATTAAATGCAACAATTTAGCCAGAGAGCCAAGTCAAGTATGTAATTTAAACACAGCAATGGCGTGGTAGACAATATTGTATTATTGTTTGTGCTAGTAAAGTTTGACGAAATATATACAATGCTTCTCCTTAACATTACAACGATAAAGTCTATTAAAGTATTAAAGAGAGTGTCCAACTTACCTTAGGTCATTGAAACAAGCCATCGAAGGACATCGTATCGTGAATTAAACGCTGATACGATATGACAAGGCCACGTCTGAAAACATCAATAATTCAAACATGCACTTGATTTTAATACTACAGAAGTTAGCAGGTATGCATTTACTTTAACTGAAGCTGAAATAATATAGTACCTGGAATAAAAGTAATCCCTGACAGTAAAAAATGGACGAGACGACCGCGTATATATGATATATAAAGCGATTAAGCGCCGTTTGTTAAGAATCTCTAAGCGTTTCAAAGTTCGTTCATGAATGAAAATATTCTTACGGCTTTGGAAATTATTTCCATGTTTAGTGGGGCGGAATTCTGTTTACATTCCATAATACTGAGCATCGAACTCAAATTATAAATTTATAAATTTGTCCACGAGCATATAATCCCATATGGCAAGGTTAAGTGTATTGGTGAACAACCAGACCGGAATTCCTGTCATGCAATGTTCAGTAATCCCTATATAAACTTATGAATTTAACCCTTGAGGTTAGGTTAGGATTAGGATTGAGTTAAGCCGTGATTAGGTCATATTGAACTTTACTTCCACTTTATTTAACTTTACTACGATATATATTTGGCCTAATATCTAACGCCAAAGACCTTCTCAAAAAGGTAAAGGTGCCTGTTACGAGTTGCGACTTACGCGAGAACGAGGCCAGTCAGGTTTGCCACTGCCAAAATTTCAAAATCATTTGTTTATTTCATTGTTTATTTAAATCTGAGTTTAGGCGCTTGTAACAGGTACAGCAAAAAAGTGAAAATAAACAAACTTTGGCACGGTCGACTTTTCAAAAAAGTCTATTTTTGTTCATTCGTTGTTGTTCGGTAATTTCAGTGAACTCTATTGCAGTTTGGAAAGGTGATTCAATATGGCCGCCTATGGTGTATACATGAAGGTCTTGAGTACGCGTTTTCTGATGAGTCACGCTATACTAATTCTGGAAAAATTTCAGTGCCATCTATTAGGTTGTTGTTAGCATTTTTAGTTTGTTTTTTATTTTTTAAACTGTTATCTGTATTTATCTACATTCAGCAATCTCGTTTTTCAGACAGTGATTCCAGGTGCTATGAAATCGCGGGAAAGGACTGGAACTAGATATGAAATAAAGTTCCATTTCAGTCGGTTGTAAAAACTTCATATCTCTTGAAATATATTTTAGTTTCAAATTTATGTCAGAGCTTTTAATACATCTAATAACTAAACATAATCACAAAATTTAGTCTCATAAAAGAAAAAAGAAGATACAATCGATTAAATACTGCAGAATGGTTTTTATTTGGACAAATTTTTGTCGGCATTCATCTGTTTATTGTCGGTAATTGTCGTTTGTTTACGGTTGTCGTCGGTTTTTGACACTTGTTGTTGGTGTTTAGTTTAACTCCAGTCCTAACTAAATGAATCATCAGGTATTATTATTAGATCACCTAAAACAACTTGGGGACATTGTTGACAAAACATTACATTGTTGACAAAACATTCTATTTGAGAATAACTTAAATGTCTAGATTTACGACGAATATTTAGGTGTTCATCATACAGTCATACTACACAAGATCACAAACACTCTGAAACAAACACGGTCTTATTTTGTGAGGGAATTTTTCTTTTATCAAGTGGAAAAAAAACACACAGGAATATGTTCAGGGGGGAAGAATTCCAATATGCATCTACAGGGGGGGGGATAGTCGTTAATGATTAGCCAAATGTAAACAAGAGACAGTCAAATATCAACAAGGCCGGCAAAAATACACGGAAAGAAGCTGAACAAACCGTTTCATTTTCATATGAAATAAATATTGAGAATAAGGAAGTGTTGGAGTGGTTAGATCTCAATTAGAAAGTCGATTTCAAGGGTTATTAATATGTCGTGAAATTATCTTTGCACAAAAGGCCGGATACATCATACATGGATGATTTAGATGGGCCTGTTTTGGAGGAGAATGAAGCAACCCAGATCTTTTACGCCAAATATAAGCTTAAGGAAAAACTTGGAGCGTGAGTATTGTTCAAAATGTCCTTTTGTTTGTCTTAAGCTGAGATAGATTTGTTGCAGGTCTTGAATATTTAATCGTGGCAAAAAAAACACAAAAATTTATAATTGCTGAAGATCACTTGATTATTATATTATTGCAGTGTTTTATTCTGTGTTTTGCATCTATGGCAAACATAGAGTTTCAAACTTGTAGTCTTTTCAAATATTGGTCAATAAAAACAGTAATAATAAAAGCACAAATGTGCTACTTGAAGATACAGATCTGTCTACTACATATTTACATAAATACCACATAACTGATTGTCACTTTGACTTGAAATAGAATCTATTTAACTTATGTTACTACATCTAAAGTTTTTAGAAGACTAAGTTTGCAATTCTTATGTTGTCATATATATGTTATTTAGAATTTCCCACATTCTCATAATTTTGAGGTATTATGTTGTCACAATAGCTATCAGCAGGTGTGTGATGTGTTGATTCATTCATTGATAGCGGCCTGTCGAGTGTTGTGAGAAAATGTGTAGACAAAGCGACAGGTCAGGAGTATGCGGTAAAAATTGTCGATAAGTTGGGTGATCATGGTGATGCAGATATTGGAAAAGTAACAAAAAATGAGGCGGATATTTTGGCAGCACTTTCTGGACATAAAAATATCAGTAAGCTGAAGTTGAAAATAGTGAAGTTGAGTCACTGCATTCTTCCAATGAGGAGTCAGGGCATTTTACAGGAAACCTTTATATCAACTAGGGTAAAGTGTCAATATTGATCAGGGTAAAGTGTCAATATTGATCAGGCTCTTGTACAAGCAAGGCACTGACACAACACAACACAACAGAAACATAACCTATTAACACACTCGCAGTGTATAAAGAAGGTTTGACTGTAATAACTATGACTATGGCATACAAATTAGCTTGCAAGCAGGGAAAACATGTATATATAACTGGGCTATATTGCAAGAAACAAGATTGTTACATTACAGCAAATGCAGTTAATGAAACACATTTAATGAAAAGGATTTTTTAAGCCTTTCACTGGTGACAGAAGGGCCCATTTTATAAGAAAACTGGGGCAGTAGGGGAAAATAAGGCTAACGGGGGGTAAATACCCAGTAGTTACATTTAAAAATGCCCTGAATTGAGCAGGACTGAATGAGTTCAAAAATGTACACAACTTCATGGATTGACCCCATTTTCCAATATTTTTTGCAGTATCGCTTGTTGATTTTTTTGAGTCACCGACATACTTTTTCCTTATTTTTGAGCTGTAAGTATTAGTGCATACTTGTAGAGTCAAATGTTAATTTTGAATATAGAGATGCAAACTAATTTTTATCACCAATTTTATGAAGTGCTGTTGGAGGAGAACTCTTTGATCAACTGACCAAGGATGTAACATTCTCAGAGAAAAGAGCAAGGTTACTTTCCCCCCTTTATTTCAAGGAAAATTAATACTAGCTGGTACTTCATATAGGCGCAGATGTAGTAGACCATGCCTGTCACCTTGTCATTAAACAGCATATTCTAGCAGTAACATTTGTGTACTTTTGCATGGTGAACTAATGACTTGAAACATCAATTTGTAGAAACAACACTTCTATTTGTTACATGCAGAGCTTTAAATTATGTCCTGTTAAACTGGGCCTTCATCAGTGCAAAATTGTAGTACATAGTCATGTCTATATACATATTTTGACAGGCACGCCATAACACCTTGCATTTGTGTTATGGACGGTTAAATTATAGCACAATAATCTCCAGCATATAATCAACTAACACATATATACCATTTCAGCTAAATAATCTATTTGGCTTTATATTCAATTCGTGTTTATTTGGTTATTTATAGGAAAGTTATGTATGAAATTTTAACTGCTGTCCAGTACATGCATTCAAAAAGCATTGTTCATAGAGATTTAAAGGTATATATTTAGCCAGTACAATTTTGCAGAAATGTATTATATTATCAGAAAAATAGTCATAATTTCAAACCTATTTTTAATAGCCTGAAAATATTCTTCTCAATGACAAAATGATGATAAAACTATCAGACTTTGGGTTTGCTAAAAAGTTGGAAGCAGGTGAAACACTCACAGGTTTGTTTTGCCAATATTGCACTTTCCAATTTTTACATCAAGAAATATTTGGTTGAAAAATTGAATGAATTAGGATGAAAAGGATTTTCTTTTTCTGTTACATCCAGATCTATGTGGTACTCTGGGTTACCTCTCTCCTGAAGTGCTTCGCACTAATTTATATGATGATCATCCTGGATATGGGTTTAAAGTTGATCTGTAAGTAAAAACTCCCTCTCCTTGCACAAACCTGATGCATTGCAAACAAATATGTGTTTTTATGCAATCTCTTTGCTGTATAGGTATTTGTAATATTTCAAAAATTCATTTGTCTTGTTTTAATAATTTCACTTTATACATACATTTTCATGCATTATAAACTTATTACACTTTTTACTACATTTTTAGTTGGGCATGTGGTGTTATTTTGTATACTTTGTGAGTATTAAGCAACTAATATGCATTTTTCAAAGAGATGTTATTCTCTGTTTACATTATTTCTCACCTTTTTTTTTGTGTTTCTGTTCCACTGTTTCACATAAATTTTTCACCATAGCTTTTAGTCTTTTGTTTACGTAACCAAGTCATAATTTATAAATGATACTCATTAGCATAAAATATATAATTATTAATAATAATTATTTATAGTTTTCGTAAATATACAATGTAGTCAATAATAATAAGTTTGATCCGAATCGATCCCTTAAAAGTAAAAATACTGCACAGGAAAATGAAAAACAACTAATCGTTCAATTGAGCCCAAACAAAATGTTTTCAAATCCTTTTTATTTCCAAAATGTCCGATTTTTTCAAAAGTCGGAAATTATATGCAAGCTTATTTAAATTCAGTTCTTGCTTTTGTATATTTGTCATGCATTTCTATGAGCTATTTGGTTTAAAGCGACTATTTAGTATGTCAATGAAATGTTCATGCTTCCATGATTTTGTATAAGTTGTTGCTTCCATGTCAGGTTTATGTTTTTGTTGCTGCATAATATTTTAGATTGTCTGGATGTCCGCCATTTTGGCATCGAAGGCAAGCCGTGTTGATTCGTTCCATAATAGAATGTCGCTATCAGTTCAGCGGTGCAGAATGGGCCGACATTTCCGATTCTGCAAAAGACTTGGTAAATAACTAAGATATTCCTTATTTATTTTATCCTCATGAAACATCCGCAGGCTGTGGATGTTTCTCGGAAGGCTGGACATGTTTGTAATATGTCTGTTGTTTTCGGCAGATTTCAAAACTTCTTGTTTCTGAACCAGAAGAAAGATATTCCGCTGATGACTGTCTTAAACATCCTTGGCTGGAGGGTGTTCAAGTAAAACTATATTTTTTTGAAATTATTATAATCATTACGTTTTTGCTATAAGCATTACTCCTTTTCAGAGCGGGGTGAAATTTTCAGCATTTTCCCGCCAAAATATTTGTGTACTCCTGAGCATTACCTGTTTTTGTATAGATTTCAAGACCTGTGGCTTTTGTCGGGAGAACTAAACTTCGGGTATGTAAAATTATGTGCAAATTATGAGTAAAAACCCTATATAAATATTTTTCATTATATCTCACTTTAATTAGTTAACTGCAATTTGAAGTAAACACATGATTTTGAAATTTTCGCGGGAAAAATGACTAGTTTTTATTTTCTCGTGCAACTTGGAACAGGCCCCAAGGGTTATACATTTTCTCTGACTAGGCCTATTATGCTTCGTGAAACCACCTATTCGCCCAAAACGATGCAATCAAATGCGATGCGATTGTCATTTTAGGGAGTTTTGATCGCCGTTCGGACGTGCCTTGCCTTGCGTCAAATGGTCCTTGACACAACTTCACGGTCGAAATGGCAAAGACTGCTCCGTACAAAGTAACTTTCAGAAGCTCATTGTGGATGCGCTTTCAGAATACTCCGGTTCATTGGGTTCAGCGGAAACGTGACGATATTCAACAGAGGCGCGTTGTTTGAGAACCATCCTAAAATGCAAGTTTCGCAATGGCGCTATATTACCAGGACTAGTAGCCGAGTAGATAGCAATTTTGTTTACAGCTTTACTACAGGTGACCATGTTGTGTGTTATATTGAAGTCCTGCACGGAATAGTTTTTTTACTGCAAATCATCTCGGTACTACAAATTTGCCATTTCTAGTGGCGTCAACTGGCTTTCTTAAATCTGGTATCAGTCTCACAGTAACCCGTTACCCAACCGTGACATGCACTATAAGACTTTGCAGGGAATTTCATTCCAAACACACTTATATAAGCTGCGCTCAGACCCGCCACTGGTGCCCATCGCTTTGTTGAACATGACGCTGTAGGTACATTATGTACTTACGCGACGCTTCCAAATAAAATTGGGCATGGTACCCAAGAACGGGCACTATTTCAAAGGCACTGTGCTTAACATGTTTTGAACCAGTTTGACTTTGGGCACCGTTGCCGGGCACTCAGCCTGAACGCAGCCTTATTGTACGTATTCTTCATTATTACCGCCATAAAACTAATTTAAGAACACTGAGAGCCTGTGAAATATATGACCAGTGGTATGTTCTGAATTCAATACTTCATTTCTGCAGGGTTTATATATACTGAACGAGATACAAAACCTGTGGTAATTCAACTTATACGTAAATTTCTTGGTCAACAGCCTGTTCGATCCTAGTAGGCAAAAATAAGATGTGCATGCGCAAATGACAACTGATCAAGGTCCCTTGAGTACTAAATTATAAATCAGGCTTTGTCATGTAGTGCCTTTCCATATGTTAATATTTGCTACGATTGCAAGGATATATTTATATTGAAGTATTTTCGTCGCCCAGACTTGCCCTCATTTTTTACTGGCTGTGATGTAAAGACTCGGTACTTTACAAGTGACACTGCCATCATCTTCTGTGATAACATAATCTTGCACCTCTTTTTTATTCAAGATTTCAAAACTATGACCTCTTGAAGCTTCGTACCATGGTTTAAATTCTTCTAACGTTTCAAACCGTTTTACGTGCAAATCCTTCTTGATCACGACATCGGTGAAGAGCCCACTATCTTGAAATAACTTCAGATATCCGTCATACGTTAACATATGAGGCCCGAAAATACTCTTTTCAACACCCACAGGTTTCTCTCCACACAATATGGCAAGCTTTCGCCCCGGTTTTAGAGAGCGATGTGCTTTTTCTAAGTAAACTTTCTTCTCGTCATCGGAAACCCAGTGAAATGAATTCGTGCCCATATGAACATCGTAAAACGCTTCACTTTCGTGCGGAAATCCTGTGGCTGCGCTCCCAACATGGAACTGGAGGTTACGGACGTCTCTGAAGTTTTCTGCAGCGATTTGGATTCTCGAGGCATCCGGATCGATGCCTGTAACTGAACCATCGGGGCCCACAATATCAGCGATATATTTTGTGACTTTCCCAGTACCACAACCAATGTCGAGCACTTTGTCTCCTAGGGATATGCCTATTCTGTTGACAAATTGACATCCGGCATTAAATTGCATTTTACTCAATTCATCATACGCTTGAGCATTGAAGTCCATCTTGTATTGATAGCGCTGCAAAACACTGAATCCTCCTTTATACAGCAATAATCCTTGAGTCGATGAACTGTGCTTGTGTGTCCGAAATAAGGTATCAGGTTTCGTATTTTGCTATTTTTAACCATAGCTAGTATTACACACTCCGGTAGCGGAGTCTATTTGCTAACGTAAAACGAGCAGAAAACATGACACCCATGCCCATGGGTTTGCCCCAGTGGTTTGCCCAGTCAGTGTCAACCAGTGGTGTCAACCGAATCAAGTTTTGAAATTCCCTACCGTTGCCCTTACATTCCTCAGATTTCCTGAAAGTTTCAAAACCTCAAAACCAGTCTCCACTCGATAATTTTTCAAGATGGCGGACGCGAGGGAGCAAGAAAATATAGCTCAAGAAAACATACTCCCTCAAAGCACATCGTTTGCATCGGTTGTTCCAATGATGGAGCAACTGAGGCGACAGAAAGGCCCGGTAGATATTTTCCCAGGGCTTCCTCAGTCGCCAAGACCTCCACAGCAAATAAAAATTGAACGTATAATGGAAAGTTGTGTTTTTAAATCTGTTTTGGCCGGCGTCATGGGTACGTGCATGCATATTTGGTTTACTTATTTGTTGTCTGATACTGTAGTGAGACATGTAATGCAATGTAGATTTTCATATTATAATGTTTATTTAAATTAAAATAATTATTTCTGCAGGGGGGAGCAATGTTTTAAGAATATAAAATAGGAAGATTATGTGTTTGAAGGGGACATGATTTTAAACATTTTACGGGGGGGGAGCATGCCTGTCCAGGCTCCTGTCATCTTTAGGCTGGCAAAAATTATATTTTAATTAAAAAATCACCATATTTTAATTAGGAAATGACCATCTTTTAATAGTGATTTACAAATATATTCTTGGACATCTCCGACTGCTGACTGCTGAGTTGAAAAATACACAACATTACCATAATATCTAGACAATGTAATCCAGTGAGGTTCTCAAGGAGTGGGGGGGGGGTAGCAGCATCCTATTTTGGGGGGAAGATTGTTGTTGAGAATAATAAATATTGAAGTGGCACAAAATTCTGGTGCAACAAACATTAAATTTCAGTAATGTGATCATTTAAAAAAATGCCATTGATTGAGTAATTAGAAACCTATGTTCACGCAGAATAGTTTGCTGTAGGTACATTATGTACTATTTCAGGTTCTTTCCTGGGGGCGGGTTTTGGTCTATTCACAGCTGGTTTGGACACATCAATGCCCATTGGTAGTATTTCAGGACAAGCCGATACTTCTGCCAGAGCAGCCTTACGTGAAATGGGGAAAAGAGCCTCCTCTTATGGCAAGAATTTTGGTGTTGTGGGTGCAATGTTTTCTGGAACAGAATGTGTGGTTGAATCGGTAAGATGGATGGTGACATTAAAGGATTTAATTACTCAATTAATAATGTAACAAAGCTGTCTTACAAAATACATTTATTTAATCAAACACTTGTAGTTAATATGAAAAATACACTTGGTAACTTTTTATACCTGTTAAAGTTAGGATTAAGATCCATTAAATTGTCCTAACATGAAGTACATGTTTGAGATAAAATGTACTTTGAAGTACTTCATTTTGAAAGAATCTAATGCATCCTGAAAGCTAATTCTGACAACAGTGGTGGGTGGTAAAGGCAGAAACATTTGGGTTTGTAATAAGAAAGGGAAGGGGATGTGATATAGTGGAATTGTAAGAATGATAAAAATTGGTCACATAAATGCTACAAATGGCAGTGAGGTCAAGATGGTCTATAATTTTCGAGATAATTTAGTTGTTTTTAGCTGCTCATCTCTATAAAACAATACTTCAACTCAAAATCATAATATCATTGTTCACAAAATTTAATGAAAAAGCGGGAAGATAGACGTGTTATATGAAAAATATGAGGATATATATTTTTCTAACAGGTGGATTTTGTTCTGATTTAGTATCGTGGTAAGAGTGATTGGAAGAATGGAACATTATCAGGGTGTATAACAGGTGGAGCTATAGGTCTCAGAGGTTCGTATCTAAACCGATATCATTAACGGATCAAAAAGCTAAACAGAACTCACACCGCCCATACAGAATATGGTTATTTGTGCCTTAAACAAATACAAATACAACAAAAAGCAATACGAATTTTTACTAGGTCCATGTTTCCAAACTGCTTTTGAGTTCAGATGTGTTTGACCTGCGATACGTTAAATAGCCATGCTTAGGTGTTACCACGTGCTTGATTTTTCCGGTTTACCTCCCTGTATCCTTATATATATATCCCTATATTACCTCAATATAGCTTGTAGAGTATGAGAGAAAACATACAAGACTACTTATTTTCTTGCAGCTGGTGGAAAGGCTGCATTGTTTGGTTGTGCTGGATTTGCAGCATTCTCGACTGCTATTGATTATTATCTCAGGTGACATATGTTTCCAAAACGTCTCGAAGAGTTGTGGTCAATTCAGGTACGCATCACATGAAAATGGCCGCGCCTGGTCGATGTTGAAGATCAGTACTGAATAAAGCTATACCAGATATTAAACTAATACTACTGGGTGTCCCAGAAAAAAGTACTCCGGTTTGATTCATAATAGCTTCTAAACTAGCTAAGCTATTAAACTGAAATAACTTTCACTAGATAGAGGAAAGACTAACTTAGATTTTGATATATTGCAGTTGTATTTTACTTTAAAATTTACGGAGATATCAATGTTCAAAATTGGTAGCATATTTCTGGAGGTGTCTAAATTATGCAAAAAACGCCGTATCAAATGTTAATCAATATAATTTAGACACATCCAGAAATATGCTACCAATTTTGAACATTGATATCTCCGTAAATTTTAAAGTAAAATACAACTGTAATATATTCTTCCATCTATCTAGTGAAAGTTATGTCAGTTTAATAGCTTAGCTAGTTTAGAAGCTATTAATAATCAAACCGGAGTACTTTTTTCTGGGACACCCGGTAGTTATTCAGAATATTTTTCTTGCTGCATATCACATATGCCAAGCAATCAATTGTTCTTCAAACACTTGTTCAGACATATTAAGAAGACCGAAAATTTTCTAAAAGTTTAGTTAAACTTTTACTATTTATTTTGTTAAAAAATATCTTCTTTTTGACACCTGCCTAATTGTCGTTAAACAAATAGCTTAAAAAGCATTTTTGCAGGAGTAGAATAAACATACTGCAAAAAAGGAATTAAGCTATGGTAGGGCAGTTTATTTTGAGTATGTGTACTATTCAGAGTTGAATAGTATCATATGAGGAGCTTTGCAGATGGAGCCTAGATACCAAGAAAAACAGCTCAATATCACAGTGAGATGAAGGTAAGAAGTTAAAGTTCTAGCTTATTAAAGGGAGATTATTAGAGAAAGGCAGCTTGCTGGAGAGATAACATATCAGAAAGGGTTGAAAAAAAGATTAAATATATTTAAAAGTGCACGCACTACTACACTGTAATCGATACTTATTTGCTACATCGTGAGTATCTTCTGAATAACTACTATTAATGCCATTGCTATAAATTCATGCGTTATGAAGTTTGCGTTTTATATTTCAATTAAAACGTGCAATTTATATCAATAAAAATACCAAAACCGTGTACATGTCGTCTATCCTTATCTACTTGTATCTATGTTGATACCAGGCTATATGTTCTTATTCTATATCGGCCTTCAGTCCGGCTACAGTAATGCGTCTTGTTCATTTGGACGTTCCATTCTCCATTCTGTCATTTCCGAAAATGCATCGTAGCACATCTTCACGGACCATCTTTTTTCAACCTCAGTAGCCCAGCTTGCCACCATGACCCCATGTATTTTTGGTATGTTGATTTTGTTGTTATCTATTTCTGGACGATACCCTTCAACCAGCCTTTCTCGGAAATCGGTGACGTTTTCGATAGGCATAATTTCGTTGAACGCCTGGGTGGCATACCACATCTCCCACAACACAATACCATAACTGTAGATATCTGCCTCTTTTGTACGATTCGTGAGGTCTTCGAGCACCTCGGGTGCAAGATGGGTGATGCTTTTCGGTATTTTCAGAAATCGACCCACAATCCCAACATCAGATATCATCGCTGTCCCATCTTCGCCTTCCTGCAGGGCAAGAGATTAATGTTTTAAATAGTTTACTTTGTAAATTAAGATGTTTTTGTGTGTGAAACTGTTTGAAACGTTGATGATATAAAATGTGAATATTAGTAAAAGCCTCAGTCTTGGCAAGTTATACATACAATAAACAATGAGTCAAGGTGAAAGTTTCAGAGAAATATATGTTACCAACCAGAATATTTTCAAGCTTGAGATGTCTGTGGATGAGTCCTCTCTCGTGAATGTAGTTTAGACCAGCTGCTATGTCCATCGCCCTCTTAATGAACTTGCCAATTGCTAGTTTGGAGTTTTCAGATTCTGCAGGTGTTAGAGTTCGGTCACGGAAGATGGCACTTCTTAGGTTTTGTCGACCTGCTTGCATTACGAATATGAATTTGTACTTGTATGATGAACGAGGAGTAGAAATTCGGGTTGCTCCAAAATACTTGAGAACGTTTTCATGATGCAAATCCCTAGATTAAAAAAAGGTCTAGATATTTCGAAAAGTAAGGAAGATTTACAAGTGGGCGAATTGCTCTTGCAAATTACCAACACAGCTAGCGTTTCAATCAATATGTTTGCAGAGTGATAACATAAACAAGTAATGATAGCCTTGGAGTTTCTCGCGTTTTTTTTATACACCTTGCATGTATATCAGTGTATTGGTGCCGACCTGACATGCATGGTTGCTTATAATATAGCTACCTACCTGATCTTCAGTTCTTCGTACAGAAAGAATTTTGAATTCGTTTCATCAAATGGATGTTGGAATACTTTCACTGCCACTTCCATTTTAGAAGTCTGCGATCTGGGTCTGGGACAACTTAACTTCCCCTTGAACACTGTGGAACTCTCTCCCTCTCCAATCAATGAATTCATGTCTCGTTTCCATTCAAGATCACTGGCATTTATTGTTTCTGGACAAACCTCGATTCCCCACGGTAGGATTTTATTTATCATCTCGCTGCTTTTCTTCTGAATTGGGTCATACAGTTTCAATATTTCATCCTGACTTCGGGTATCATTAATTAATTGCGTCACCAGTTTACGATCAGCCTCGATCAGGATGGGAATTTGATCTCCATATTTTGATAGCACCATTTTGGTGTTCTCCATCTGGCGTTGGGCATATTCTAACACGTATTCTTTTGGCAGTCGCTCCAGATATTTTTCAGATTCTTTTTTCAGATAGTCACGCGGATTGTTTTGGTAATTGTCAAACTTCTTTCTTATAGTTACTTTGCGTTTTACCGCCATTGCTCCCAAAACAGGCATACCAATCACCAACCCCGCCACACCAAAGGGAATCCAAAGAGGGCTCGTTGCACCGAAGATAACTTTGGTTGTTGTCGAAATTTTACTTCGATTCTTCAAATAATCAGCTTGTCTTTCCACACTATGCATCGCCTTGTCAACACCTTGAAGTTCCTCTTCCAAAAGATTCAGCCTTTCAAAAAGATTATTATATAGATATCATTCAATAACAACAATAGTTAGAGAAATCTAGATAGATAGATATAGATAAAAATAGTTTGGGCAAACGATATGAGGCGCTTTATAGTTTGAGACGAACATCAGGATGAACATTTCTTTACAGGAAAGACTACAAACTACTACAACTATAATGATTTATATCCTACCATGATTTAGATTTACTAACAAAAGAAGAATTTCGTTTGGAATCATGTTTTTGAAGGGGATAGCTCAAACTTTAATGATATACATGCATCTTTAATTTTTTTCAAATGCACACAATGTGCCAAACCTTGTACGGAATTCGTCCAGAAGCTGCCTGTGAATTTCAGCATAAACTTGATGGTCATTCTCCCACTCAATAAGCAATTCTTTGAATCGGTTATCAATTGCCATGTTGACATTGCTTCTTGTTACTTCCCAAGTTATTCCATGCGGGGGAAATGCACCGTTATCCCAAGTACAGAACTTCGTTTTGAAATCCATCGAATGTATATATTCTTCAAGTTTGGCGAGGAGAACTTTTGTGTGATATTCCACTCTTTCTGCCATGTCCTTTTTCACCTCTTGCTCTTGTTTTTCAATTTTTTCTATGCGTTTAATGATGAATTCCATCTTTTCACGAGTTGTTTCGTGAGATGATTGTATTTCTTGGCTGAAGAAATACGTTACTCTATGAATATTATACAGCAACGTATACAACCACCTGGAAGGAAATAGTTCTTTTTTAAAACAATGCCTAATAGGGTATTAAATCTCTACTGCACTCCAAAATTAAGAATGTAAAATCTTTATCATATATCCTATTTAACTTGGGAACTCTTTCATAAAAAGGATACTATTGCAAAACCTACATTCAGATGGGCTACGCTACTCATTGATTTTTTGATCAATAGATACCGAGCCTTGTACCACAAAATCGTCTTTTTGTGTTTTTCGAGCATAAGTTGTCGAAAGTATTAGGAAATATTGCTTCTTACTATGGACTTTATAAAATAATCAGATTACTTGTGATGTTTATCATATGAAAATATCAAAATCATAAATTCATCGTTAAATTGTAGCATACTTACTGCCATTGATTGTATAGGCTGATATTCCTTGCCCTCAATACCAGCGTCTCTATTTTTTTGAGCAAATCGCTGAACTCTTCAGTAAGTCCGCCATACTCTTGTGCTTTGATGGCGTCTTTTATTGACATGTACACCATTTGATGATTTAAATTTGAATCTTCCCAACACTCTCTTAACTTTGCGACGACATGTTTCTTCGTTTCTGACCTTTCATCCTCTTCTACTTGATCCCATTTATTGCAGATAAAAAGGGAACATTCGGCTAAATGTTGAAGGGTCTCAACGCCGGCATCGGAGGACTTCACCTTTTTTAAGATGGTCTTTAGCTACAATAATAACGAGTATATCAGTTATGCCTCAGCGATGCTACGTCTTCGACTTCAACCAGTCGTTTCAAGTCAAAAATCAAGTAATTACATTAGGAATTATATATGAAATTAAATCATTCGTAGGTTCTACCTTTTCTTTGATATCTTGTTGTACTCCTCCAGCACGGGAAGTGTCAAGAACATAGATAAACGCAAGAGCATTCGGAAGATATTTCATCAGAACTTCGTCCATATCATCAGATTCACCCAGGCCTGGACTATCAATAATAACAACACCTTCCTAAAGCATAGAATATGTACAATAATTACCGTATTGTATCTGCATTACTTTGAAAGCAAGTAATCAAAATTGTCTTTCAATCTACTGTGAAATATTTTAGGTATTAACCTATTATTAGCATGATAAATTTAAGTTACTGGATGTTGATTGGTCGAGAGGAGGATTTATTTCATTATAGTTGTACTGCCTTACAAAAATTTAACGATTTGTGGTACTATTAATCCCGAATTTTATTCGCCTACTAATCTATATTATCTATGTTAATTATCTTACACTTTTTTAACAATAACCATATGTTCATGTGCTGTGGGACGGATGCTTTATTTTGAAACCCTATTTTTTCGCTAATTGTCAAACGCAAGTATTCATTCATATTCTAAGTATTCATACTTGATAATTTAAAATGAAAAGGTTCACCTGAAGTAATTCTTGCGGCCAAAAGATTTCTACTCTAGTATATCGGGATCCCTTTTCTCGCTCGTCGGACTGCACTTGCACGAAGGGAGCAATTTGATCGCAGTAATTTTTGCCACCTTCTTCTTTTGTTTTCAACTCTTGTATTTTAGGTACGCGTCGCTTCCCTGATTGTTCATCATACTTTAAGTGAGCAATCAATTCTCGTTTCTCTCCATATTTTACTTCGCATATTGTGGAAGTGGTATTGAGAACGTGATGTGGAAGAAGCTCTTCTCCGAGAATAAGATTCACTAAACTACTTTTTCCAGCACTACTTTCACCTGAAAAATAATAGTAAAGAGATTTTATGCAATGTTTCATTGTAATGCCGGTTAGCATTAATCGGGGTGTGATCAACCTGCCCCACCACCTTAACCTTCAATACCTGCAATAAGAACGTTATATTCTGTGTTCGTTAAGCGTCGCCTTTGTTCTGCCAAAACATTCAAAATACTACGATTGCCATAGTAGACGTTTAGGACCGGAATCGTGTAAACATCCAATTTCCCGACACACTCTTCAATCTCGAAATAAAACTTCTCCAAATTCTCTCGTTTCTTCTCATCCTCCTCTTTAGCCTTCGCTATCACCTCAAATCCCTTTGAAATATATTAGGAAATATGTTGGGTCGTAAAAAGAAAATTTTGTTTCGGAAACAAAATATTTTTGCCAGATTTTTTTGCCAAATGCATGAGATAATATGAGATAATATTTTTAAATTGAAGAAAGAATAAACGTTTGTTAAAAGTTAAGTATCTTGAAAACAATGACAGATACGAAAGAGTTTTTAATTATGACTATAGTTGAATTTGAAATGATAGCTCGAGATTCGACTTTATAATTGTACTTGATAGCTATAGGATTTTACTTATACGACTTCGATCATTCACGAGAAATTATAGAATTTCAGTGATTGAAATATATCTTTATTTCTTTAGTCGAGGGGATTTTGCATGCATGTATTTCTAGTATATCCGGAATGAAGGAGATAAACGACGAAATATTTCCACTCGCCAATGGGAATTACAGTCGTACCAATAGAAGCGGCAGGGATATATAGCTATATATAGACTATTTTATCTACAAAAAAATCGTAAAAAAGTCACCGTTGTTCCATTTGAATATTTTCCACTTCCAGAACGTTGATCTTCGATTACTTTTCTCGCTATCTTTCTCATTTCTGGAAGGTTCATTTGTTCAGAGTCGTACGATATGTGAAGCAGCTCAAATAAGTCAAGCATATCGCGCATTTTTTTTATATCGTCGACATTCTTTTTGGGCTTTCTGTTTAAGATTTGTTTTCGATGTTTACGACGAAGCGCCGTTCGTTCTTGGCTATCTGCAGGCTCCTAAAAAAAGGAACCATCACATCATCTTAAAATATTTATATAGTATACTTTTCTTCGTCGTTTTCCTTTCCAATCCTGCCAGACAATATGTCCTACTTTTGTTTCCCCTACTAACATTCTTAGCTCTTCTGTCTAGCCTGTCTAGTTGGTATACAAATACCTTTCCACTATTATTAATTCCAAATTACCAAAATTACCAAATTAATTACTAAAACTAATTGTTTTTATCAGAAAAGAAACCTTACTGTCAAATCCGGTCCGGAAAATATTAATTTTCCTGAGTGGAAACCAGTCCTTACTAAAGGAATGCTAAATGGTTTTCCGTGCAGGATTGCGTGATACTGCGCAAGGGAAATTGCACACGAGCCGTAGGCGGGTGCTTTTTCACGCTCTCCGAAAGTCGAGCAATTTCATAAGTGCAGTATCATGCACGCAATCCTGCCCCATTTAGTATTTTCTTTATAAAATAACTACAATAAAACGACGGTGAAATTTCCCGCGCAAAGCGGCAATGTGAACTTTCTGTGCAGGATTGTTTCATACTGCACGCCTACAAACCAATCCAATTGCGTGTTTCTTTGCAGTCGTTATATAAAGCAGTTTGCTGACTGATAGCTGATAATGTCGTGAAAGCAGCAAACAGGAAACGCTAAAGCTATTTTCCTTGATTTACCTGGTAAATAGATTCATCTGTTGCTTGGTTTTGACTTACTGCAGCCTCTTCCTTCGCTTGATTTTCAGTTGACGGTTCGTTGGGACATCCAGCAGGCCAAGACATACTGTCAATATTTCGATTTACTGAGATATAATCCCTTTACAAACTATATAGAAATACAAAGAGATCGTCACTTTTTAGCGTCGACTCCGTCATGATGCCTGCATGGCTCAATACTATAGACTAGCGGACTTAATAATCCGAATTAATGATTCATGAAAGCCGCCTTATTTCAAAACTGAAACCGCCCCTTAACGTCTAACTTCGACAGCTTTATCTGTAGATATGTCGGGCATTGGCCGTATTTGTATTAGAGGATAACAAGGGGGAATTTCGTTTTAAACCAATCAGCAAGTTTGTTTACATTTTCAGTAACGTAATCAGAATGCATAAATTTTGATAAAACGTACAATATATACCATTTTACATGAAGTATTTAAAATTTAGGCATTCTGATTAGCTTTGCCTAAAAATGTAAACAAATATGGCGATTAGTTTGAAACGAAATTCCTCCTTGTTTTAGAGGACGGCTTAGACGTCTGCACGAAATAAACACGCCCAAAAAAATAGGGATTGCATGGGGTCTGGACCAGATTGCATGGGGTCTGGACCAGATTGCATGGGGTCTGGACCCATACAATCGCCTTGATGGCCCCGCCTTTGTGCAAAAATGTGTCCATTTTCAATAGTCTCGTATTTATATGACACGAATTAAACGCCTACGACGGTTAATTCATCTGTTAAGAGCGTCATTTGGACGCACTTAATTTGAAACGTTTAATTCGTCTAGATGGTTAATTCGTTTCATCGTTTTCTCGTATTGATATAAGACGACTTTAACGTCTCAGACGTTAAACGTCTAAGCCATCCTCTAATATAAATACGGCCATTATTTAGCTATTGGTATGGTTTGGACAGTCCTCTACAGCTTGCGAATGAATGCTAATTGGAGAGTTTTGACATTGCCTATATCTTATGCATGTTAGAATGTTTCAAAATTGGCGTATATATATAAACAGTTTCGCTGTTAAATCGATACCAGCTATATTCCAAATGCTTCATAACTTTTTATGAACGAACTTCGTTTACACCAGGTTACAAGATTTTGTAATTTACCAAGCGACTATCGAACTTCAATATTGTAATTGCAAACGTGTTATTGAATAATGTTAGCCGCTTTATTGAAAACTGGCTTGAAAGTAAGAACAAAATCAGGATATCCAATGTGCCTACTAGAACTGGTTTTACGTGAAACTAGACGCAGTGATCAACCGCTCAGGTAAATGAAAATACATTTCCAGCGATTGAACTGCAAACGTCAAAAGTCGACGTCAACGGCAAAATCTCAACGTCAAACGCGGTTGGCGGTTGAAGAAAAACGTGAAACTAAAACCCTGATTAGTGCCTGGTTTCCTTTCAGTCGTGAATGTCGTGAACATGTCAAGGTGGCTGATGCTGATATTTTTATGTGGGTGCAGTCAACAATGACCGATTTGAATACTTAAAGTAAAAAGCAAATTCCGAACAAACAAGACATCTTGAGAATCAAAATATAATTCAAACAAGACACAGATTGATCTGTGTCTAGTTTGAATTATATTTTGATTCTCAAGATGTCTTGTTTTTTCGGAATTTGCTTTTTACTTTACTTTTTTAAATTGTCGGCTGGTCATGGTTTTTGATTTGAATACTTGTTCACTACAATTACGACTAACCAGACTTAATCAAAGCCAATCTCCCAAACTCCATGAGAATTAATATTTCCTTTAGCAGTTTTAGTTTATAAGGTATTATACCATTAGACATAGTAAAGTATAAACATATTAAAGCAACACGACGCATCATATTTGTCTTCCCAGGCGGTATTCCCGTCTTCCATAATAAAACTCGCACAATTTTCGACGTACACACTAAATTGTGACTAAGATTTTGACTGCTAGTTTCTGCATAATCGTCTTTACTATATAACCAAAACTTCAATGCAAAATGTATCCCTAAATTGCAGAACGAGTGCATGCATTTCCACTATAATTACATATTTGTAACAGCAATAATTGGTTTCGTCATCAAAACTTGCATGAATATCGTATCTTCCCTTTGTGTACATAGATAAAAAAAGACTTTCAAAAATTACCTTCTAAGAGTTGATACCCGACTTGAAGTTATACCATACTGTTGATACTGTTTATAATATACCAAGAGTGTTGTGAATATACCGTTAGTATTGCCGACGATTTTTTTTTAATATAGTATTGTGTATACATACCTATATTTATCCATGCATGTAATATTTGGAAACATTTGTAAGGATTTATATAACTCAACATTAAAAGCAGTGGTGAGTTTTGTCTCCCACAGCGTAGCTCAAAAACGTTGTGTGGTTTGAGGTATGCTGTTTGCATGATAAGCTCACAGCTGTGTTGCTATAGGCTACCTATATAATACACCACAGCGGTTGTTTTTGTACTCGTTAATTACGTCTGCATGTGGTTGTGCATGGAGAGTTATTATATTTGGCGAAATTAAATTCGTACAATAGACAATAGTACACAATACACCACAACTCTTTCTCAAAGCATTCATTTTAATGTTTCAACCACGTCGTCATCGCGTACCCGGCCTACATGCTTATTAAGGACCTTAATATTTATTATTTATAACGTCTCTGTTCTGTGATTCTTCTGACTCGCAGTTTGTCTCAAACACCAAAATACTCCGCATGTGCATGGTCGTTAAAAATATAAGCCAGCGTTCCAGGCTTAAATTTTAACTGTTGATTCCCGATTTTGAAGCGCTACAAGGAGAAAACGTTTCAAATAGTTCGTATTTTAGGTGCACTCAACTTCATTTCAATATTTTCATTTCATTTCATTATTAACCAATATTTATTTTTGGCTTAACTAAAATATTTTTATTATACTTGCAACTTAAAGCTATACCCTTTGCACGTCTCATATAGAGGAAATTGTAAAGAAAGAAATGTTATTGTGCATGGTTTGTAAGACCTTTTTGTACTTAGCTATATTGTTATTCTTATTATAAAAGAATAAAATAAAAATTATGTATTATAACGGTTTATGCTTCCACAAACAATACTATATGATTAACAGATTAACAGACGATTATAAGATTTTAAAACAACATCAGTGGATTATGGGGGTAGGGTATAGTCAAAATAGGTTATAACACCTAACAAATTGATATATTAACAAAAAGCCTTTAGAGTAAATCCCATGCAATGTATTCGTAAATTTCAGTTCTTTAGAAGTTCATAGCCAATTGCATCTATTTATTAATAGGCCGTACTTTGACTATAAAATTGTGCCTGCAATAATTTATTTTATCTAAAGCTGGATCCGCCACTGGACAGCACATGATCATAAGACAACGATTATAACGTTAAGAATGTTTCCTTTTTAAATTTGTAACATGCGTCCTCTATAAAATCACAATAATTTGTGCAGATTCTCCAGCACAAAAGGTTACATCGCGGTGTCTTCAATACCGTTCTTTATGTTCTCAAATTTGTCATAGCACTCTCTGGCGGAATACCTGTCCTTTACCTTGGTCGCCCAACACAAGGTCATTATAGCTTGAACTATTGGAATGTTGATGGTTGTCTTGTTCATCTTTGGGCGATAATTATCAGCTATCTTTTTTTTGAATGCGGCTCGGTCGATGGGCATGAGTTCTGTGAACGCTTGGGTACCATACCACATCTCCCACAACACAAGGCCATAACTATACATATCCGCCTCTTTCGTACGATTCGCGAGGTTCTCGAGTACTTCTGGTGCAAGATATATTATGCTTTTCTCTGTTTCTACAAATTGACCCACAATCCCAACATCGGATATCATCGCTGTCCCATCCTCATCTTCCTGTAGATAAAAAATACTGACTTTGAAATTTTCTAAAGATAGATAGTCTATATCTTACCGGGTCTTAGAGCCTTAATTACCGGGCAGTTTTTTGGGGTCACCATTCTTTCTTTCCCAATATACGAGGTGATTTGGGGGTTATAGTTATTTATACAGTAGAGTTCAATAATTTGTAAACGGTTTGGTTCAAAGGCGTGTTAAGCACCTAAATTTCTGAAAACTGTATCGAGCTACATTTTGAGCCCAGTTTCTAATATAACGTACATAACGAGAAGTTATGGTTTATACACAGGCCCTAAACTGTATGAAATGCAGTATTATGCAGTTATTGCTAACCAAAATATTTTCCAGCTTGAGATGTCTGTGAATAAGTCCTCTCTCGTGAATGTAATTTAAACCATCCGCTATGTCCATCGCCCAGTTAAAGAATTTACCAATTGCCAGTTTGGTGTTTTCGGATTTCGCTGGTGTCAGATTTCGGTTTCTGAAAATTACACTTCTGAGGTTTTCTCGGCAGGATTTCATAACGAAAATGAACCTGTACTTTTTGGATGAAAGACAGATGCTCATTCTGGCCGAGCCAAAATACTTGGTAACGTTTTTATGATTCAAATCTCTAAAGTGAAATATATATTATAAGATAAATCCCATAACATATAACCATATAATAATATATAACATGATCTTCTGAAGTTAAAAGGATTTTAAACACGATAAAGGTTTAACTCTACTAACGAGGTAACGATCGAAATTAAGGAGAGCACGCGCCAGCGTTGCAAAAAGAATGTCTTCAAATTTCAAACGAAAGATTTTTTCGTTAAGGTAACTAGTACAAAATTTTGAAATTAAGAAATGATTTCTGATGAATTTGAGGCTTTCTGTCCACGTCTTTAATGGATTAAAAAGTTTGTGTCTAGACTTGCCGTAGGTCAGCTGCATGCACTTGCTCTTTCATGCAGTTGTGTTTGTTAAAATTTTCATGTTTAATCACGCATTATTTTGTGCCTTAAGCCTGTTATGTTATGCTAACTAGGCATAAACCTGATTATCGAATTCCAATTAAAATTTTTCCCGAGCACATTCTTGTGCGGACTTTATTGTGCCTTTGGTTCAACGTTGTGATGAGTTGTAGAGTAGAAAATATATACTTACCTAATTTTTACCTCTTCGTTCAGAAATAATCTTGAATTTGGGTCATCAAATGGATGCTTGAATACTTTCACCGCCACGTTTATTTCAGAAATCTGCGATTTGTTTCCTCCAGGGTTCGTTATCTTTCCTTGGTACACAATGGAAAACTCCCCTTCTCCCAGGCTGTCTTCTTCGCCGTCTTTCTTCCATTCAAGATCCCTTGGATTTACTGACGCTGGAAATAGCTCGATACCCAACGGTATGATATCTTTTTGTATTTCGACACAGCTCTTTTGGACTGGAACATACAATTTCAATACTTCGTCCTGGCTTCGGGTTTCATTCGTTAATTGTTTCACCATTTTTCGATCGGCCTCTATCAGGATTGGAATTTGATCCCCATATTTTGATAGCACTATTCTGGTGTTCTCCATCTGTCGTTGGGCATATTTTAAAACGAATTCTTTTGTTAGTCGCTGTAGATATTTTTGAGATTGTTTTTCAAGGTAATCACGAGGATTGTCTTGGTAATTCTCAAGCTTTCTTTTTTGACTAACTTTACGTTTCATAACCATTGCTCCAAAAACAGGCATACCGATTATCAAACCCGCCACGCCGAACGGAATCCAAAGAGGGCTCGTTGCACCAAAAAGAACTTTAGTTGTTGTCGAAATTTTACTTTTATTCTTATCAACTTGACTTTCACCATGAATCGCTTTGTCAATATTTTGAAGCTCTTCTTCTAAGAGATTCAGCCTTTCAAAAAGATAACAAGTTAGAATTCACTTTTTCATTTTCTGAAAAAATACTGTATGTGCATGCATATTCTAATAGGCCGAGTCCAGACTTCGGTAACAAATAGAATTTGTTTGATATTTTGGGGGCAACGCGCAGCTTCCGAGATGTGAAGCTTAATTATAAAATGTGTTTCAAACCTTGTACGAAATTCGTCCAGAAGCTGCCTGTGAGTTTCCGAGTACACTTGATTGTCATTTTCCCATTGGATGAGCAATTCTTTAAATCGGTAATCAATTGCTTTTGTAATGTTGCTTTTTGTTGTTTCCCAATTTATTTCATTCGGCGGAGGTGAACAGTCGTTCCAATTGCAGAACTTCGTTTTGAATCCTGGCGATTGAATATGCTCTTTTAGTTTGGCGTGGAGAACTTTGGTCTGATATTCCAGTCTTGCTTCCATGTTCTTCCTCACACTTTCTTCTTGCTTTTCGATGATTTCGATGCGTTTTTCAATTGAACTCATCCTTTCACGAGTTGTTTGGTGAGTTGATTGTATCTCTTGGTTGAAGAAATACGTTACTCTATAAATATGTTGCAGCACTGCATGCAACCACCTGGTAAAAGACATTAAATTTTGAGAACATTTTTAAATATAACATGGTTGTCTCAACGTGCATGTATATACAAATAAAACTCTAGCAATAAATCCTCCAAAACGTGATTACATGAAGTAATATGCTCTATGTTATCTTTCTGCGCTGATTCTGATCAAAATCATCAAATTAATTCAGTTCACGACTTTAATACAGCCAATATTTTATCCGTTCGAGGCATTATTTCAAGAATTTAAAGTCAAGTTTAGTTGTATATAAAAAAATGCATCAATTATTTCCTTAGTTCATCTTATAAGATTTTTTGTTCACTCTGTGAATATAAACTGTATAAATTAATATAAGCAATAAAAGAAACTTACTGCCAATGATTGTATAGTCTTATATTTATTGCCTTTAATACCATCGTCTTAATCTGTTTAAGCAAAAGATTGAACTCCTCTGTGACTCCGCCATATTCCTGTACTTTGATGGCTTCCGTTACTGACATGTAAACAATTTGATGATTCGAACTTGCATCTCTCCAGCACTCGCTCAGCTTTGTTGAGACATATTTCTTCACTGCTTCCCTTTCACTCTCTTTCACTTGATCCCATTTATTGCAAACGAAGAGGGAACATTCAGCTAAATGGCGAAGGCTGGCAACCCCAGCATCAGAACCTGCCTTTCTTAAGATGCCCATTAGCTATAGAAAAATAAATTTACTTGTTATTTAATTTACTTAATTGAAGAGACGAAGAGTGGGAATTATGCATATCATAAATTTAAGACAGCAACATTTAAGAAAAAAATTGTTAACTATAGATCCTCCTACAGGAATCGAACCAACGCTTTTGCATTTCCAGTGTTTGGAAACTAGATTTTACCGCATTTTTAAGCTGTTGTGGTGTTGAAAATATACATTTTTTATTTACCTTTTCCTTCATATCTTTTTGTATCCCCCCAGCACGGGACATATCAAGCACATAAATAAATGCAAGAGCATTTGGAAGATAATTCATAAGAACTTCGTCCATTTCATCAGATTCACCGAGCCCTGGACTATCAATGATAACCACTCCTTCCTATATTATAACACATGGAATATACAATGAATTTTGGTACTGTGCCATCCGATAGTCAAATAGTCAAAAGTGACACGAGGAACAAAGATTACTGACTACGTAGATAAATCTTTGTGTCAAGATTGTTAAATTGGGTTAAGCACAATTAGCCTATTTCCAGGATTTCTCACCGTAGGGACCTTACCTATACGACATAATGACCTTTCTGTTGTAAGAGAAGATTAAATACTGACGAAACGTTACTTCGCGACGTTAAATAGTTCCAACATTTCGAACTATTTTTTGAGCAGGTTAAGATGCACTTATAAACCTATTTTTATATTTTGTATAATTATTTAACTTAACAAATTAAATTTGCCTGAAACATTAATCGATACTTTAGGTCAGCTGAGTACCTCTGAATTTCTAATGGTTAAAATGAGTCGGATTCACCTCAAGTAATTCATGTGGCCAAAAGATTTCAACTTTAGCATAGCAGGAAGCCTTTTCTCGTGCTCTCGAATCCTCCAAGCGCACAAATCGAGCAATTTGCTCTTGACAATTTTCTTTTTTATCCAGGGTATAAACAACAGGTTCCGGCTGAATCTTTCGTTCCTCGTCGTAGTTATAGTGAACGACAAGTTTTCGTTCTTTTCCAAACTTTAACTCGCATATTGTGGAAGTGGTATTGAGAACATGGTGTGGAAGAAGCTCTTCGCCAAGAATAAGATTTAATAAACTGCTTTTCCCGGCGCTACTTTCGCCTGAAAAATGTTTGACAAAAAATAGCCAGGTGATCTCATATGGCAGACAAGGCCTGGGAAATTTGGCGTTTCGTGGTTAAAACAACGTAATATCTCTTGAAATATGCTTTCTTTCGGGTTTAAAATTCATGTCAGAGCTATAATTTTTTAAACTGAGCATAATCACAAATTTTTGTCTAGTTTCGTAAAGAGTAACAAAAGATGAATGTCTATTTCGTCAACCTTCTAAGGGTTAAAATATGAGCACGGGATCACCTGGAGTGCAGGGGCCGGTTGTATCAAGCCCGTTTAGCTTAAACGCTGGATAAGTCAAAATTAAATAACACTCATACATCTCTCTTGAATGAGTCAACTTGAATATTATGCACTTAATATGTAGCTGTAAACAGTAGCTTTGTATTAAGGTAAAAAACGTTTAGTTCGCTTGTTGAATAAAGCGGCAAACTTGCTTTCTATTTTGAACTTATCCACCGTTTAGGCTAAACGGGCTTGATACAACCGGCCCCAGAACCGTAAACGAAAACGAAACGTGAAGTACCTGCAATAAGAACTTTATACTCTAGTTTCGCCAAGCGTTCTGTTTGTTTGTCTAAAACATTTAACACGCCATGATCGCCATAATAGGTGTTTAGAACCTCAATCGCGCATTTGTCCAATTGTTTGATGCAATTATCAATCTTCAAATAAAATTCCCCCAGCTTTTCTCTTTTCAACAAATCTTCGTCTTTAGCCTTCGCTATCACCTCGAATCCCTAGTTATAAGAATAAGATGTGACAAGTAATTAATGTCTGCCCAATCCTAAAAGCCCATTCTGTAATCTTTGAAACTAGACTGATGAAGCCACCTTAATAAGTTCGTTAAAAACTAAATGATTGCAGAGCGTTTATACAAAAACGAAAAAACACAAACGGCCGATTATGTCGTTTTTATATTTTCTTATGCATGCATTAACCGTTTAACCTCGCTTGTTCGATTTGTACTGTGAAATATCAAACCGGGGTTTTTTGCATGTACCTCGCTACCTCTAATTCGTGGCTCGGTCCATACTAAGGGCCTCGTCTGTTATTTCACAGTGAACACCTTCCGCTCGGTCAATAATCATTTATTATTATATGGCAAGCGCTTGTTTTGGTTAATTCTGCAATTTGATTGGCTGCTGACAGGTCCGGATTTCCCCGTATTGCCCACGGGCAATACGCAATTCTTATTGCCCTGTGAAAACAAGGCAAAACTCACGGCAAAAACTAACTAAATTTAAACTGAAAAACAGATTAAATTCTTAAACGGAAAATAATGAATTTGAAATAAAAATAATAAATTTATATTTTACAAAATAGAGTGTTTTTTTTTTCACTTTAGGCCGATGTTTTGGTGTCGTGTGCCCGGATGAGATTAATCATTACAATGTCTGCATGAAATATGCCATATAATAAAAAACTTACTAACTTCGACTGTTCGGTCTGTACGGTAAAATATCAAACCTCGGTCTTGGTGTATTGACCTCGCTATCGCTCGGTCAATACAGCACGACCTCGGTTTGATATTTTACCGTACAGACCTCACTCTCAGTCAGTAAGTTCTTAATATTCACCGTTGTTCCATTGGAATATTTCCCGCTTCCTGAACTTTGTTCTTCTATCTCCTTTTTTGCAGTTTTTTTCATTTCTATAAGGTCGCACTTTTGTGGATCATGTTTAATATGGAGAAGTTTAAATACTTCAAACATGGTAAACACGTCCTGAATATCGTCCACGTTCTTTTTTGGCGCTTTTTTCGTCGTTGTTCTCCGGCGACTTCGTCGAGACAGCTTTTTTATTCGACTACTAGTCTGTCGACATTCCTATTAAAGAAGTATGCTTATTTTAACTTTCTGGAATAGTAGATAGAACTTCAACTTTTGATAGTATTGTTCCACAAATACTATATTGGAAATATATGCAAAAGCTATGATTATAACATTCACTCCAAAGGCAAAAGATTCGCTGCTATTTCAAATTCATCTATCGTGTAATACATCATCAACTATCTACAAATACAAATCTATAATACAAATTCATCCATCTACCTCGAAAATAGTATCGTCTATTTCTATTCCTTGAGACGTTGCAAAGTTCGATTCCGAATGACTCCTGACGAACTCTTTTGCCCTTGCTGTTTTTGTTTCATCGAAATAACTAGCCGTGCTAGACATTCTTTGACGTTCATTTGGCACTTCTTTTTTTGGCGAAGACATACTTCAGTGTTCCGTCAATTTTACAAGTTGGTATACCAGATAACCTTTCCGTTGATTTACTGTACCTAAAAACGGACATGAAATTTCTCCATCCCCGTCGCTTAGCCGTGATTCGTAGTAGCTAGTGTAAAGGAGGTTTGTGTGTTGTAAACGAGTCTTGAGTGTAGTGTAAACCAGGCTTGAGTGTTGTGTAAATCAGGCTTATGTGTTTTGTATATAAACCAGGCTTGAATGTAGTGTAAACCAGGTTTAAGTATAGTGTAAATCAGGCTTGAGTGTAGTGTAAACCAGGTTTAAGTGTAGTGTAAACCAGGCTTGAATGTAGTGTAAACCAGGTTTAAGTGTGGTGTAAACCAGGCTTGAATGTAGCTAGTGTAAACCAGGTTTAAGTGTAGTGTAAACCAGGCTTGAGTGTTGTGTAAATCAGGCTTATGTGTTGTGTATATAAACCAGGCTTGAATCTAGTGTAAACCAGGTTTAAGTATAGTGTAAACCAGGCTTGAGTGTAGTGTAAACCAGGCTTGAGTGTTGTGTAAATCAGGCTTATGTGTTGTGTATATAAACCAGGCTTGAATGTAATGTAAACCAGGTTTAAGTATAGTGTAAACCAGGCTTGAGTGTAGTGTAAACCAGGCTTGAGTGTAGTGTAAACCAGGGTCGTGTGTTGGGTAAACCAGGCTTGAATGTAGCGTAAACGAACCTTGTATTTACATAATAAATCTTTGAGATGAATGTTTTCAAGCAGCTGCATTGTCTACGCATATTCTAGTCTAAACGAATATTTGCATTAAATAATGGGCTCAAATTATATAGATCCGCGTGATATACGATTAATAATACAATCGCTGTTTATACCTGCCCTGCTGTGAAATAATTGCTGGTAGACAAACGTTAAAAGAATAACAAATATGTCGGCATTTTCTCCGGTCCTAATATATATTGCAATAGTAAACTTTTAACCGTATTTCAAAGTTAACTAGGATTTAACTATGTATAATGTAGTTAAAGAGTTTTATACAACCGCCCCCTGGTTGTTCTGCTCGCTTATTAAAACTCTACACCCAATGTGAATATTGTATGTAAATCACAATGTAGTTGATACTGAATTGTCGACATATCGGTAATGAAATCTTCTAGTTTTAAAACGCCAGGATGACAATCACGATTAACTTCGTTTATCAACTCTAAGCCACGTTATTTCATACACAACTATGGTAAATTGGCCGACTCAGATGGACGTTGATATAATATTCAAATTATATAATTATGTGGCAGACATCAACACGACATTAGCTTTAACAGTATATCCTCATTTTTTTATCAATATCTCGCAAAATTAGTAAATTCTTCTGTTAACGTCTTCTGCCTGACGTTCACAAGAAATTGATGTACTGCCAATTACGTCCAGCGACCAGCGCATGTGTATAGATATGTCACTGTCTACATGCAATAGCTACGTTTGCATGGTCGCATTATTGTGACATTTGGCGCCTCTGCAAGGCAAACGTCTTGTGTAAAGCTAGTTTTAGTTCAACCTTAATGTAGCCTACCTATTGACAACATGAAAAGAAACGAATAGAGTTGTAACATTAAGTCATATCAATTAAAGGCGTGTCAGCATCAGAGATGACAGAATCTTAAATTAAATATATATATAATTCCGTAGACTATAAAAAAGCATTAATAAGAATCAATATTGAATCCTTTATACATCTTTACTTCTAAACGATAATTACGATCCACAACTGCGCGGATTCTAAGAAAAGTTTTCTTATTTAAATTCAGAGGATTCCTTCAGCTGATTGTGTCGGTGTTGCTTCAACAATGCACTTCAATACCACGTAGCTATTTCATCAATACTAAAATTCTGTGATGTTTTTTGAGCCCCGAATCTATCGTGCGAAATCTATCTTTGAACCGCCGACCCGTAATATGTGTGGTTTCATTAGGAAAACCTACCGTGAAATATCCTTCACTCTGGTATTATTAAACACAGCAAGGGCTGTATCTACCTCGGAAGGTTTGTCGAACGTACCTGACTGAAAGTTTCCATAAGAAAGTTGAGACCACTTGTCAAAGCAGTTTATGTCACTTCTTGTATACTTTTGATCAGTAAATATTTTATCATACAATACTTGGAAGCGAACTCTAATTTCCACAGATAATGGTCATATCCCGCAGCGTTGTCAAATTCTTGCATAAATACGTATAAGTATACTTGATTTTGAACTAGTATAATTGTCATAGAAAAAATTGTCAAAGTTCCGCGTACGAACGAACAATTAAAAATTGTCGCATAAAAACTTGTCATAAAAAACTTGCTCGTCTGTAAGAGGCGTAATAAAAGTAAAGGTATTTATTGGTTTTTACAAGATTACTCGAATCCTACAGTCCTAAGCGAGGCTCTATAGCCAAGTGACGAGCTTTCCTAAAGGGTGTCCAAATTGTCTATTGAGCAAAATATCATTCATAGCGGCGTGCTTTTAAGGAGACTTGGCTCTAGTGCGCTGTGAAAAATTTTTTGTCACTCGGCTACGATGGCTAACTAGTGATGCTCCAGACAGTTTTGCGTGGGTCACTGATTTCACACGTTGTAAGAAAGAGTGCAAATTTTTACGGATAATTTTACCTCTGCTTGTTCTCAACTGTTTTCGATGCTTATTTCCTTTTTTACTTATACTATTACCTATTTCAACTATATTTTACATCCATGATTAATTGATTAAGTATAACCACACAGTGTACGCTACGTGCAATTTCCGTCCAAAAATTCTTAAGACGAAACAACCAGTATCACCGTGAAGATCTATCAAATAAATATTGTGGCATGCAATGTTTCAGTATACGTGTAGCTCTAAATACTTCATGTTCACTACGTTCATCAACAAATTCTCTACTTTCCGATACATATCTGCATTCTTCAGCGTGTAAGAGCTATGCTACAATGAATACGCATTCTAGTTAGTGCTTCTTTTGACAATAATAAAGTTTGTAATAAATTTTAAGCTATTCAGTCTTCAGAGAACCAACTCTAAATCGGATGAATCGAACGAGGTTTAGCTTAAAAGTTTGCTGACTCTTTTTTCCACTAATTCCTGAAATATCTCGTAGCATTCTTTAGCAGAATACCTTTCCTTTATCTCAGTCTTCCAGCACTTCTTCATGACATCATGTATTGCTGGGATGTTGATCGTTGTGTGATCGACCTTTGGACGATAATTACCAGCTATTTTTTCTTTGAACGTCACCTTGTCGATGGGCATAAGTTCTTTGAACGCCTGGGTGCCATACCACATCTCCCACAACATGATACCATAGCTGTAGATATCTGCTTGTTTTGTGCGATTCGTGAGGTCTTCCAGTACCTCAGGTGCAAGATAAGGCATGCTTACCTCAGTTTCCGAAAGCTGGCCCAAAATCCCAATATCGGATATCTTTGCTGTACCCTGTTCATCCACCTTTGGGACAGAATAAAAGGTTTGATATTAGAAGGTATTCTTTTCTTGGTGCCAAGTCATTTTGTGTATTAGATATGGGAAGCATTCATGATAATAGTACATATATGTACGTTGGAAAATTTTGTCGAATGCTCCAACATTGTGTCTTCTATTGAGTACGTTTTAGAATTACCTTATGGTATGAGAAGATGGATTTGGTGAAAGAATAGTTAACGGACTTCCATACTAGACGAACTTTTGATTTAGGCGGCAAAAAGGGAGTTTTCGAAAAGGACATACAAAGCATTGTAAAAGGTGTGCAAAGGTATACAAAAATTGCGTACTTCGCATAGCGAAACTACTCGACATTTGCAGCCAAACTTGGCAATTACACCAATTTCAGTATACCGGCTCTTTTTAGCTGTGGTGATTTATTTCCTTATATTAAGTTGGTCTACTACACTTGGTCCATTGGAGTGAAGGTCTTTAGAGACTTCTTGAGATAGGATGTATAATACGGGAAATAATAATCTTAATCATGCGACACTCGTGATCACTGTAGCTACTCAACCGATGGCAAGTGAAGCATACTTACCAAAATATTTTCCAGCTTTAAGTGTCTATGAACGAGGCCTATCTCATGGATGTAGTTTAACCCTCTTGCAATCTCTTTCGCCCATTTTAAAAACGTCTGAATTGCTTGGTTGATTGTCGAAGATTCTGCTGGCGTTTTTCTCTCGTCTTTTTGAATGAAACTTCTGAGGTTCTCCTTGCATAATTCCATCACGAATATAAACGTGTAATCATTAACATAGTGCGAAATATTCACCTGCGCTGTTCCAAAAACGTTGACCACATTTTCGTGCTTTAAATACCTGCAGCAAATGTGTAAAGCTCAAACATATTGGATATGTTTAAGACTGTTGAACATGCTAATTTAACAGAAAATGTTTACCTCTCTATGTCAATACTTCAATGCTTTACTTATAGTATTGAGGGGTAAAAACGCTCTTACATATAAAAGGTTGAGAGTAAGAAAGGCGCTGGGTTGTCACCATGATTTTTGTTTTAGTATCATCGTTTTGGCCCGATTTCACTTCAATTTCATTGGAATAGATATTAGGAGTCCCCTTCTATCATAATAGAAGTCTCATAAAACCTACCTAATCGTCACTTCTTCATACAAGTAAAATCTTGAATTTAGATTATCAAATGGCTTTTTGAATACTTTCACCGCAACTTCCAAATCATTATTCGGATCTCGTTCTCTATCTATTCCGCCATTTCTGAGCTTACCACTGTACACCGTGGAAAACTTTCCTTCTCCAAGACACGAGTCCTCGTCCTTTTTCCATTCCAGGTGACATTCATCGACTGTTGCTGGGTAAAGTTCAATTCCCAGGGCTGGTATGATATATTCTCTCAATTCCATGCTTCTCTGAATGATCGGAGTATACTGTTCGGTTAGTTTTTCCTTGCTTCGTCTTTCACTCAACAATTTGGAAACCATTTTTCGATCGGCTTCAAGGAGCTTCGGAATTGCACTTGTATATTTTCTCATTAAGGTTGCCGTGTTCGCCATCTGCTCTTCGGCGTATTTAAGCACCCCATCTTCTTTTACGGATTTCAGGAACTTGTTGGATCTTCTCTCCAGATAAGCACGCGGGTTTTCTATATATTCGCCGAGTTTAAGTTTTTGAGAGACTTTGTATTGAATTGCGAACGCTCCAAAGACAGGAATACCGATGATGAAACCTGCTACGCCGACAGGAACCCAAAGAGGAGATATTGCTCCGACAAAAAGCCTGGCTGGTGTGAATAATTTACTTTTATTATTCTCATCATGAAGTTTTGTTTCATACAAATCCTTTTCAGCACACTCAAGCTCCTCTTTGATCACATTCAACCTACATTAAGAACAAATTCAAATATGATGATGTGCAACCAGAGAAAAATTACAGCAGGTGGTACAATGTTTTACATCGTCTAGTACATACAGGGTGTATAAAGTTATTGAGCATGACATATTGCGTTTAACAAGAATATTTCATACACATGCTGCAAGAGCATTAACTGTTTAGCTTTCTAAGGATGCCTGTCGTATGTTAAGACAACGAAAAAATCTGATATTCGGTTGCGTTTCCAGGTTTTCCGCGTACTGCATGTGTCGAGACTACCCAGTGAGCTCCACATATATCTGGAGTAAGAACTTTGGGTGCAAAAAGTGAAGCCAAAGATAGCGGAAATTGAAGCGCTATAGTACGTCAGTTTCAGTCCCCTAACTCGCGCGGCCAAATATTTCTCATTGTTTTTGACCGGGAGTGACGTTCCCGAAACCCTCAGATTTTCGTGTTTTTCATCATTTTGAGAGCACAAGAATGGAAAAAATTGATTCATTTTACCGAGAATCTATTTCTCTGCATCTACCCGATGTGGGTGCCCCATTTTCCGACTGTACGAGTGAGTAAATATACCTTTTTCGCCGTAAATTCAACTACGCATTTCAGATTTGTTTAATTTTGAGTTATTTTCATAAATTTCCACCTTATGTTTTGAGTTTCTTGTTTCGTTTTTTGTTTCGAAACGCTTCAACACTACTATCCTCTCCGCCATCTTTGGCTTCACTTTTTGGCCTCACGGAAGTCTTAAGTTCTTACTGCAGATATATGTGGAGCTCACTGGGACTACCACGCAGTACGCAGAAAACCTAGGAACGAGGATGCTGGAAAGCCAAATAATAATTGCTCTTTCCCGCTGGGTAAAGATCAAATCGCTGAAGCAATATATTATACAAGACAGTGTTCATGCTTAAGTTGGTGTACCTCTTTTTGTATACGAAAATTAACCAACCTTGCAAGAAATTCATCCACAATTTCTCGATGAATATCTGAGTAGACTTGGTTTTTTCGCTCCCATTCAAGCATCAATTCTTCAAATCTGTATTGGACAGCTTTTACAATATTACTTTTTGTCTTGGCCCATGAATTTTCAATATGGGGATATGAACATTTAGACCAGTCGCAGAAGGTTTGCTGGAACTCTGGCGAATAGATATATTCTTCCAGTTTGTAATCAAGATATTTGGTTTTTTGGGCGATACGCGCTTTTATATCTTCTTGTAAAGATTGCTCGTGACCTGCGATTTTTTTCATACGCCTTTCGATCGAGTCCATTCGTTGACGATTTGTTTGGCTAGTGAAGATTATCTTTTGGTTGAAAGTGCTGGCAACTCTGTTGATGTACCGAAGTGCCAAATCCAACCACCTGGTAAATGGAATAAGAATTATGAGAAGATATTCCAAGAATAGATAATTCTAAGAATTCTAAGAATAGGAAACACATTTTTTAAACATAAAAATCAAACTATAACATCTCTTACTTCCAGTGGTTGTACAGTCTGGTATTTATTGTCCTTAAGATCATCCTCTCAATGCTTTCAAGTAAGTGATTGAATTCTGTTGTGACTCCGCCATATTGTTGCACTTTGATGGCTTGGGTTGTGGAAATGCATACAATTTGATGATACAAATTTTCATTTTGCCAGAAGTCGCTCAGCTTGTCGGAAACGTATTTCTTCACTTCCGCTTTTTGAGTTTCCTGAACTTGGTCCCATTTATTGCAGACAAAAAGTGAACATTCAGCTAAGCGGTTGAACGTCTCATTGTGG